GGGGTCCCAGTTCGGATTCCCGCTGCCTGTGGAATTTATGTCTATAGCCGAGATTCCGTAAGGAGCCGCAAGCTGTTATGAAGCTACCCCCGATAGTGGAATTTATGTCTATCGATAACATTCCTGAGCACGCGGCGGGGTCCCAGTTTGGATTCCCGCTGCCTGTGGAATTTATGTCTTGGCCGAGATTCCGTTAGGAGCCGCAAGCTGTTATTACGCTACCCCCGAGTGTGGAATTTATGTCTATCAACGACATTCCTGAGCTCGCGGCGGGGTCCGAGTTCGGATTCCCGCTGCCTGTGGAATGTATGTCTATAGCCGAGATTCCGTAAGGAGCCGCAAGCTGTTATTACGGTACCCCCGAGTGTGGAATTTATGTCTATCAACGACATTCCCTTGCGCGCGGCGCGGTCCCAGTTATTGTATGTATAGAAGGGGAGGAGGAGGGAATTGTTGCAGCGCAATAGTTATTTTAAACTCAATCGGGGTCATGGATAATGTATGACAATCATAAATTATAAACTATATTGTGATTAATGAATATTTTTCTCAAGATCCCAGTTAATGCTGCTCTTTTCCATTTCCAAGAATCGTCATGTTTAATGACTACTTCGGAAAAAGTCTCTTACCAAGTGCATTTTTTTGACTTTTCAGCTTTTCTTCCGAAACAAAATCCAAGATGAAGAAGGTTATGTATTATTCGTTCGTAAGAATGCTCTTCAAATATTGATTCCAAAATATGGTTTGGAAGGTACTTTATACCTTGTTCCTGCCACTGGACAGCCTACCGCTAATTTTGTCTACAATGAAGAGGTAAGAACACTTTCAATTCAGCATAATATTCTCATAAATGTGGATAAGGGGATCCAAATTTTTTCATGAATACTATCTAATATTTATTCGATGTAATATTGCTGGCCTTAAAAGGGTGAGGAGGGGACTTAAAGCTGCATTTTGAAACCCTCTTTAGAATTTTTCTCAAAGAATCCTATGATTAAGACAATTTCTGGGAGACTGAATCAAGGAACATCCTAAAATATTGTCCGTAATTTACTTAGCTACAAAGCTGGGCGGTACATATTCAAGTTGAGGATAGTATGCATTTTTCCAGACTATAGGACACAGATTAATTCACTTTTTTTAAGAACAATTAGATGACACTTGTTTTAAATTTGTTGAAAATCCCTTAACACTTAAGCCATCACAGGCACATCTTCAGGTAAGATTCACAAAATTAAACTTGATACATCATTTGTAAAGAAATAAAAACAAAAACACTAAAATGCAAGTATTGGGCAGTCGACTGATAAAAAAAAACTTGTGAAACATGCGAAAAGAATGTGTGTATGTGTCTAGAAATTCTTACCAAATCCGGAATCTTACAAAGAGAAGGTTAATTGGTACATTTTCGGTCGCTCCTTTTCTTCCAGCCTTGAAAATCTGACATAATATTTTCTAGCTCACACTTTTTTTTTGCACAGGGGTTTACTCAAAGGATTATGAACGTCCTACATTTTTTGCTTGCCTATCAGAGAAAATCAAGCTTTTGGCTGAACATTGTAGCCAAATCAGGGCTTACTATTATCTGCTCATTTTTTGTAAGGATAGATTTCTGATGGTTTTAAAGTAACATCGATTTGGGGCCATTTATCAAGGAAATGCTATTGAGGAAACACAATTTTTGAGTATCCAAAGGAACCTTAGCCCTCAGAGCAAAATTTTTAGAGAAGCTATTTCTGACAAGTGGGGAAGAGAAGTCAGATTTTGAAAATTTGAAAGAAAACTTCAAGGTCTCATAGTGGAAGTTCTGAGCAGTTTCATTTATTCCATATCATCAAAGGATGCAGTGTTACATGAAAATCTGGCCACTTTGTACTCTGAATACGGCAGACTAGAATTCTCAAACTTAAATTTCTTTTACTATAGACTTCATACCATCAATAGTTACATTTGACTAGATATTCTCGGCAGTTATTTTTCTTTAAGTGTTCGTAGAACACTCCTCTGTACTCCTATATCGATTGGACTGCATTTTGCAATGAGGAACTACAATTTTTGGCTCATACATAAAGACACCTATCTGTGTAAGGAAACTAATGGCACACATGTTGTTCCTAAAATGAGCCAGATATTATGGTTCCTAATTGCAAAATGTAATCATATTACTGAGTTTTAGTGGGCTAAGGTCCCTTTTCCTGTTGACAGTCGCATTTTAATAAAAAAGAAAAATTTCTGATTTTTAGGATCAATCTCAAAGATGTGGGAACATCGTTTTTCATGCTTTCGATCCTGTCACTGTCCAGCTGAGCTTAGACAGAAGCAACGTTCAACATGAAAAATTAGTATTAAAAATGGTAAAACCATTCATCAAAGACTTCAGCGTTCCATCTGTTCAAGCAAATACTGGTGATGCTGTTGCCAGTGATGATAAAATGGATTTAGACGTACCCCAAACCTTGCCAGAAGTAGAGACTCCATCAAAACGCAAAGAGAGCGAGACGGAGACTGCCCAAAGTAAAAAGTCGAAAAAAAAGAAAAAGTCCAAGAATTAGTGTATTTCACTCGAAGGGATTCAAGGATAGCCCCTCTTAATCTTTGTCAAATTGTGTTAGATGGAACTGGGGTGATTTTCTCATTGAAGTGTAATTGCTTTTCTAAAAAAATCGGAAGGGTTTCATACACTTATGACAAATAATTTGCTGTAATATTATGTACCATAATCTGATATTTTCTCTCCCATCCAAGTCGCAGATTTCTTGCACTGCAGTAAATTCTCCGTTTCGACAAGGGCAAGTCACATTTTAGATTGAAAATTATAATCTATCTGTTGTTTATGTGTATGAAGGAAAGTATGTTTATGCCCAGCTTGTTTCTGTTTATGCCTTGTATATTTATGTACAGTTTACAAGGTTCATATTATCAAAGGGATGAAAGTTCAAATTACGAATCTCCTGCTTCAACAAAGGATTGATTTCCTTTAAACGCTGCACAGTGATATTTTTAAACTATCATTTATCTCTCTTAACTTTTACTGCCTTTCATAATCAGAAAAATGGGTAAGGGTCATAATACATAACAAAATGTAATATTACATATGGTCATAAAATACGCTCATAACTGGAAGCATTAATGCAAAAAAGTCGTTTGATGTCGAGAATTCGCAGTGCAAGACTTTTCTCTTGAAAATAGGCCCTACTGTCTCAGGTCCAATAGTAAGTGCATCTATTTCTTGCATTCAAAATTGTATTAATCCAAATCACGTGAGATTTATTGGCAAGACCAGCATTTTATCACAAAAAAAAGTAGGAAAAAAAGATTGGAATAAAGAATCAAAATGAAGTAAGAAAGCGGGTATGGTAATTAAAAAGTTTAACTTTGTTTATATTTTATGCTGTGATACTTATGATATGAAATCAATTTTAAGATTGTTTTTTTCACTGTGTCAAAACATAAGAAGAAGAAAATAAAATATGAGCTGTAATTTAGTTAGTTGATGTTCTTATTTTTTTAGCTTCTTCTAGAAAATGGTTTTTATCCATTTATAGAAATCATAATTTGACTGCTTAAAAAGCTCAGAAACTTTAGAGTTCCACATAATACAATAAAAACTATATCTAAATTTTGAAGAACCTAACCATCTGCGAAGCGAATGAACTTTTAAATAGTCAATGAAGCGTCCAGACAATATTTTTCATTTCAGTTAAAATCTGAATGGGAAGACTGTTTTTTTTTTAAATTTTAGGAGTCTTGAAAGAAAAAAATCCTTTTGAAAAGAATCAAAATTTCATACAAGAAAGTTAAAAAAAATATACGACAAAAGTTTGCTCAGAACACCAGAGCAAATTTTTTTCTTTTCAAATGGAGACAAACAGCATAAACCCTAACCATAACCTCAAACGTAACAAAATAAGTAAAGAAAAAAATGAGCTCGGTTAATTATCCAATTTAGGTAATACATACAAGATCGATTCATTGCATGGTTTACAATTTGTAAAGCCTTGTGCCTAACATTTAATTAATCGTTTTCAGTATTTTACAATCCTCGTTTTAATTATGTGAGGTGTTTGTGTCAGTTGCAAACTTGCTTTTATTAGGTCCTAAAGTGCTCCATGTGTTAAAACCAAGAAACAAGAACCTAACCTTCTACTGATGCATCCTGAAGTTAGTCAAAATTGAGAACTTCACGAAATGGAACAAGTTCACATTGTTTATTACTAATATGACACCAACATCAAATATTTTATGACCTTCCTCGAATTATTTTAAGGTTACAAATTTCAGGTATGTACAATCAAACTCACTTATAGTACTCGACTTGAGAGTTAATTAAAACCACTTAACCTATCTCTATAAGTATGGAGTGATTATAGACTTACATTTTGAAGGAAATTCTACAAGCAATCATTTTACATGACCTTTATAAATTCAAGATTTACTTAGTTTTTTGTTTGCACTGATTTTATGATTTTTAGCTGTAATCTCTTCTTTTTAAAATTTTACAAGCAGATGATCTGAGTATTTTCAGGTTATCCACCAGAATACCCATCTGAAAACTTGAACTGTAAGATGAAAACTTAGTAAGAACTATTCTAATTGGTTCTTTGTTCTCTCTCCTAGTCATAATTATAAGTATTTTTTTCCTCCCAAAATATGTTTTGAAGATACTTCACTCTTTTGTTGTCAATGAACAGGAGCTACCTATTTTGAAAATCCTATTACAACTTCACCCTTGAAATATGATCAAGAATCAGGAATCAGCCATTGCTAGGATTCTCAATTCCTAGTTGGTTTAAACTGTTGGTCCCCCAATACTCATACCCTAAAGAGTTTTGGAGCAGTATGTATCCTTATCATCTTATCTATTACTAAACCAGGAGGCTTCTTCCTGTAATGGCTTTGTGGTCCAATCCTCGAATCGCTCTACGCCTCAGGGGTCAAGCGTTACTCGTCACTCTTCTGATTTCATATTATAGAATACAATACGTCTGGTTACTCATCATTCAATGACTGAATTGTTCAAACTTTTAGCTTAATAGTGGAATATCAGAAAACAGAACATAACTTAAAACAAGCTGACATAAAAAATGTATACAAATTTTAGCTGAGTATTTATTTTTTCTTTCTATTTCTTCCATTCCCAGAAATTGATACTAGGCGGTGAACAATGAAGTGCGATCCTCCAATGGAACTGTTTTGATGCCAGATTTTGATTTCTAAATCTGGTTAGATTCATCCAGGAAAGGTAAAGAATATTTTTTATAATTTTATCAACAAATGTTTTCTTCATATTTTATAACTGGTGTTCTACAGTTTGTCTGTCAGAATGTTCTTTTCAATTTTATCGTCCTTTTTTTTTTTAAATGACTGGAACCAATTATTCAACAAAATCAAGAATTGGTTGCACTTAGTAATGGCCATCTTGAATGTTTGGCACTAATTTTCCCCTGCTTAAATGAATGTAAAAATGTTAAATTTCCTCTATCAAAAGGTTCTGCAATTTGAATGTCGAATATTTAATCACTTTAACATCTGATCACGTTTTCACTCTTTTTTCTAATTACTACTTAATAAATTTGAAGTATACACTTTCAGAATTTTTTGAAGATTGCCATTTTTTCTAATTGTTTTTCCCCCTTTGATAATAGTTTCATGAAAAATGTCAGAAGATGTTTACAATGCCTCCGACAAAGTTATTTTGTCCAAATTTTCCTCGGACTCTGTCAAGACAGTAAGTGATGCCAAAATATCTGCTGGAGCCTGTGGTGATTTGAAGCAAAGTCAAAAATTCACTCAGATTAAAAAAGAATTCAAATTAAGGAATGGAAACCAGAAATTGCACAACAAGAATTGCAAATTTGGGCGAAATCGGCGTAGAAACACTCAGCATTGCAGAAGCAAAGACAGGCGATGTCTTCAAATGTGTCCTCACGTCATCAAAGCCAAAGTTTGCAAAACATCACCTTTACTTGGACCAAAGTCAGATCTCAAAACAACTGCAAATATCAATGCAGTTTGTAAGTCAGATGAAGGGAATTGCTCTGTCAAAGTCAACAGAAGATGGAAACTGAAAAATGTTTTTAATAAGTTAAGATGTCTATCGCACAGAGTAGTCTTGGACACAAATTTGAGTCAAAGTAAAGTCTCGAATGAGTCGTCTGATAAAATAAGTAGTCTTGTGAGTAATCACGGTAGCTGTCGCTCATGGAAAAGCCAAGAAATGAGGGAAAGGTCATCCAAAACGATAAATGTCACAAGCTGCTCTGACAGGACTATCATTCAGTCATCGAAGTCAGTTGAACATCGTCCCACTTCCTCAGCTTGTGCTGTTGCTCCTAAAACAAGCGATGGCTCAAACAATGACGTTCAAACTGCACACTTAATTGAGTTCATCCGAGATTCAAAATCAGTGAAAATCTTGCCTCCCTTTATCTCCAGCAATATTTCCGGAAATTCCGGGAATAGCAGACAAATGAAGCGTAGAGACCAAAATGATTCTTCCTTGCAGTTCCTCCAATCAAATAAGTCTTGCTTTGAACGTCTGAGTCAAGTGAAATTGAAAACTTTAAAATCAGCCCCAGCTTTATTAAGAAACTTATCTTTTATCAATCCATCTGTGGTCAAAGCACCTTCAGAAAAAGATGTGTGGAAAGTTTCAGTAGCTGTTGATAAAGTATGTCAAACATCATCACAGATTTTACCGCTGGGAAAAGTATCAACGAGCACCAGTTGCACTTCCAAAATTTCTTGTCTGTTTAGCGACAAAGAAATTCAGAATGAGATTTCCTCACTCCATGCGTTGAATGCTTCAGTGAATAAAATGTGTCAAACAGAAAGTGTTAGAAACCTATCTAGAGCTGTAAACAAAGGCACTCAAGCAAACGAGGAAACCTGCCAGGAAATTTTGAGTGATTTCAGTCAGCCGACAAGAAAACCAACAGAAGCATCCTTCAAAGAACAAAAGTAAGTCTTCTTTTGCAAAGCCTATTCATCGATGATGACATAAAAAAACCGAGTATTTTATCCTGACATTGCGAATTTCCTGTCTTATCTCACTTTGTTGAAGGATGACAACTCATTAAACAAAAAATCAAAATTGTAGAAATTTATCTGCTTTTTCTAGAAAAGTCTTTGAAAATTTTGTCCAAAAAATATCAAGTATCATATATTTACTTCCACAAATGAAGTAGGAGTATATACTTTCAAAAACCACCATCAAGGAGCTTTTTTTTAGTTTCCTCGCATTTATGCTTTTCCACTTAGTCCAAATTGCAATTTAGGCCTCAAACATTTTAAGTCAATGTACTCTAATTTATCATGATGTAGGGCAGAAAAAAAATGGAAGGGTAAAAAAAAAAATTAATTTGAGAGAAAATTTTAGGTAAATTTTCTCTTAGAGGGTACCCTTCAATTTTTTCTGACATTCAATTGATAATTTAGTTTCTCTGAAGCGTATTCCACAAATTTTTCTGTTTCTTTTGGAATTTCAAAAATAATTAGGTGTCATGTAAATTTTGGAAAATTCTGTAACTACATAGAAGAACCAAAGTTGTAATCCTTATAAAGGTTTTTTCATCTCATTGTTTTTTCAAGTTAGTTTTTAGAATTTTACATGTCAGAATCATGATTGCTTCTAGGTCTGGGGAGAAACATTTTCCTGAACAGTATGAAAGTTTTTCATCGGAGGAAACAATATCTTGCGAAGGAAACTTATCAGATATCAGATGCTCATCTTCTGCTTTTGAGCATCAAATCCTAAATTATTGTTGTGTATGTATCTTTCATTCATTATTCATGTTATATTTCATCTCTGAGCTGCAGCCAAGGCTATGAGTATATTGTTAGTATAATATGTTAGATGTGAGACAAAAGTAACAATATGAAAGGCCCTCTAAAGTAGTGTTCAACGGTCTTTGGCTTTTGGTAATAATAAGAAAAGATTATTCAACAAACCAAATAAAATGGTTAAAAACAATTACAAGAAAGACTATAATTTTTTTATAATAAATTTTGTCGGAAAATCATTTTGTAAGATCTGTCTTCCGTCTTCAGCAGTGTCGACCTTATGGTGTTGATGTCAATCTAATTTAACCTCATTATTTTTGGATGTTAAATATCGACACCTGGACAGCCACGATCAGTTGAAATTCTGAGTAATTTCCTGGTTGTTCTATGTAAAAATTCCTTTGTTTATCTTCTATTTTCAGTGCTCAAAAAATTTGGACAGGATAAGAAAGAAACTAGGTTGGCTTGAAAATGAAAAACTGACTGAAAGAACAATAAAGAAGTGTATAGCAGACAACGAATGTGCAACAACTGAAAGTTGTAAACATGAAAAGTGCAGTCATATTCTAGCAACCAGAGAAAAATACACTTGCAGAAGACACCTTCCGAAGGCTTTGTACCCTCAGAACAGTAAATCTGAGCATGCGGTAGAAAATCATGAAATTTGCACTTCTGTTGGATACATTCAACAACCATCAATCTTGAAGTCCAGCTCTTCCTTTTTCAGGTGTGTAACACAAATAGCTCAGTTACAAGTTAAATCTTCCCTCATTTGTTCCATTTCAAAGATTTTTTGTTCCCAAGACTTGTAATTGCAAAAGCCAATTTCTTGAATGCATGTCACGAAGGATAAGGGATCGACCAATTAAAGAGGTTGCAGAAAAGATGTGTCTAATATACATAACACGATTGTAGACTATTTGTTATTCTTCAAAATTCTGTAGTTAGATCATTTCAGTGTAATGACGTCTAGTTCTTGTCATGAATCTAAATTGTTGTGAAAGCAGGAACAGCAAACATCAAATCATCCGCACATGGTGTTGTCCGTACTTTGCATTATCCAGGTTGGTTTGCCAAGTGCTTGTGATACGTGGACAAAATTTTGCCCTCTTTCATAATCTTCCTTAGAATGCAGACTGTTTCCAAAGTTTGCCCAGCAAGTTTTAAGAAAATAAATTCTTCCATCAAATTTGATGCAATTGAATTTTGAACTACAGACTTAATTTTTTCAGAGTGGATCCTCACAGAAACCATGTCAACTGTCATGCATGTAACATCCACAGAAACCATGAACTATGGGAATCTAAGAACTCTTGTTGTTATGATTTTTCGTTGACTCGTGCCAACTTCTTGAAACTCTATCCGGAACCCTACATCAATCATCTCTCGAACGCTGTATCAAATGTGCAATTAATATTCCACAAAGAGGGCAAGGTAGGTCAAGTTATTAGCTCAAATAAGTGTAAGTCTTAACTTTTAAGCATAAGTTTTGTTTTTTTGATCGGTTTAGGACTTCAGTACTTCACTGAGATCATAGCCAGGTAATAATATTTAAAGCTAATAAATCAATCATCTACAGTTTAGTTTATTGAAATTAATTCTAAGTTTTTGAAGTGAAGCTGCATAGCTTAAGAATAATCTGAAGAGCCGATAAACATCATCAATTCAGCCTCAACACTCTTTTCTCACGTCCTTTAGTATTATCAAAACATATTTGCTTGCTCCCTTCCAGAACCAGAAACAATTGTATGTCTGTCAAGAATGCAAGATGAATGCCTCGTGGAATCGACATGCTCGTAAACACCGGTTGAGTCCAAAGTGGCGGAAATCAATCTCAACTTGCGATTCTCAAACTCCTTCTTCAGTCCCTGATGCCTATTCTTCATCTACTGATGCTTGTAGCAAGACGTTCACAAATTCAAATTCTTATCACTGTAATAAGGTAACCTTCCTTAAAATACCTCTGAGTCGTTAGAAAAAAGTTATGTATGAAAAAATAGGAGAGGGGTCAGAAACTGCTCAAGGATTCAATGAGGTGGTTAAAATTTTAAAAAATTGTCCTTCTTGAAGCTTTCCTTCAATCATGGACATCTCTTTCTCCAAGAACCTCACTCAAAACTCAATGCAAAGCCCAAATTTAATTGCAGCATTAAAAATTGTAAGTCTGTGATAAAGATTTCACAACGCAGTTGTTTCAATTTGTAGTTAAATCTCAATATATTTCAGGTACTTTTATGAAAATGGATTATACTGACAGCTACTCTACGTTCATTACAAATCATACTAATCAGAAAAAATCCGAGGGAAATCCTAAAATTTGACCATCAATCCCTTTTGATCTTCAAATTGGTTAGTATTTATTCTAAGAGATAAGTAAAGGCCAACACTATTGGAGCGGTTCTGCGACATTTTTGGTCCGAGTTTTGCCTCTCTTTCAATTCACCCATTGAGAATTTTTAAACTTTTGGATCTCAAAAAATTTCTAGGTGTCAAATTAACAAATTTTACGTAAAGTATTACTCACAATATTTGATAATGAAATACTTTTGAGTAAATCTAAACAGCTCCAGTGAAGATGGCAAATTAACAAATAAAATTTTCAGAGATTTTTACTCAAGTCATACTATTCATATTATTTCGAACTATTTCCTGCTCAAATTTGTTGTCATATCCGATATGATACAAGATTTTTTGACTGTAATGAACTTTCTAAAGAATATCTGACAATTCCTACATAATTAATCAGCTAATTGATTATAAAATTATTCTTATCAGTATCTTGTAGATTTACCTAATTTTCTTTTAAAAGTAACGGAAAATTTTCTTAGCATCAGTCTTTTTTTGTATTTCTGTCCTCAAATTCAAGTATCAAATGTTCTTCTTCAGAGCAAGCAGATGCAGCAGAAGAAAGTTAAACGGCGGCGCAAACCCAGACAAGAAAATTTCAGACCAAGTTACAAAGATGTAGGAAACAACATATCACAGCTTGAGATGAACTCAGATCAGGGAACGTTGAACCATGGGGTAAAAAAGACACATTTCCTTTAAAAATTTTGTATTCTTTAAAACAATATGAATTTTGTCTTTTTAAAATTTAATCATAAATTGAGGAGCTTGGAGGGCAAGGCGCACAAGTGCAGTTTTTGAAAAAATTGAGAGATTCATGATTTAAAGTAAAACTAGTGATGCATATATTGTATAAAATTTGCTCCCAAATTCCAATTCTTAAGCATCAAAAATTGAGTTTGAACTATCTATCCGCCCTAAGAATCCGTGTAATTTCGAAACTTCAAAATGGTTTCTCGAAAAAGCAAATACTGCACCTCTGCCCCTTGTCCTCCAAGCCCCTCAATTAAATCCAGAGACAATATTTTTGAAACATATTTTAACAACCACTTTTCTTATGAAATAAAAATAAACTTTTTTAATTTTACTTTTCAAGTAGGTATTGGTACTCGCAACAAGTAAATTGACTTCTCCTGGCGGTTTGTGACTTAAGCGCCTAGGAAATAAGGAAGGCTATGTTTAAAAAGTTGGCACAACCTTAGGACAGTATTCATGGTCGTTTTTTAAATCTTAAGGCCCTCTTTAGCCATAAGAGTTACACTGGTTAAGGGTGCTCTAACATTTAAAGAATGGTCATTCATAAATATGACCCTAGACCTCTGTTGCAACCTTGCTCTTTACAAACCATATTGGTCCATTATTAAAAGTTTGTTTAACCTCCAAAAAACGTGTAAATTGCACCTAAAAATTAGGTTTTCCAACGGAATGGCTCCAAAACTTTGCGCTAAAGTGATAATATTACTTGCTTGCATCATTGAATTTTTACCAATTCAGCTAATTTTAAAAAAAATCTCAATGCAAGAAGACGCTACGAGTATTGCAAAATCTCTGGGAACTAAATCTAGTTGTTGACTTGTTCATTTAATGTCTGTCGCTCGTTCTTGAAGTTTATCCTCCTCATTTTACAGTACTTCATAGTGCCTTCTTCAACCATAAGCTGATGGTCTTTTCATTGTGAACTCTTCAGACCTGAATGAGCACTCGCTGGGCAATGGTTGCTGGAAAGGTTGCGGCAATATTTTAGTAACATTTCGACAACAATTGCCTGGGTGGGCAATAACGTAAAATTTAAGAATAGTCTCTTGGATTGTCAAAATAACTCCTTCTTCAATTATGATTTTACAGGATGGTCATGGCAGTATGTTAGATCCATCTAAGCAGTGTTCAATGAACAGCCCCCAGCATAAAACAACTGATGCCTTTTTACCACCGCCACCCCCTCCACTTTATGAGTATCCTGCTTACAGGTATGTACAACTTAATCAGTTTGATAGTTAATTGTAAATTTCTTTTTCCTTTTGATTTAAGGTCCATGGTATGGGAAGATGAGCTGATGAGCTGCTGAGCTACGGAATTGGCACCATTGAGATCAGAGTGTTTGACTCAAAGAAAATGAGAAAATTAAATCGTATAAAAGGATGTCTGCAATGTGACAAACTGAGATCCATATTCTGAGAGTTTCACCATCAATATTTAATTTTTTATGGTAATATTCTCTGGTACCTGGAAGCGGCTCTCTGGTACATGTATAAGTAATAAGGTATTTTAATTTCATGTCGGTGAAGGGCCTAAAATTACAGTCTTAACCAAGAATTTGGAGTCCTGAAAACGGCCTGAAAAGTAGGCTATTTTTTTTCAAGACTGTGTTTTTAAATGATCCAGTTCAAACTCTCATGACTCCAGTAAGGTTTCAACATTTTTGGACATTTTTTGCCAGTACAAATATCCCTTAGAAATTATTGTACGCACCAGTGCAAGCAAGCCAATGTTTAATTTTATTATATGGACGTCTTTTTTCCTGTCAAGGGTCATATATTGCTTATCACTTGCTTTATTTTTACAGCTGTAGGTACAATGAAGGAGAATGCACAAAAACCTATCCTCATGGTCAGCGGTTCAGAGTAAATTCACAAAAAAAATCTCCGGAGGCCATTGGATCCAAAATGAATGAACCAATCGGTCCACGGCAAAAGAATACTCCTTGTAACAGAGTACAGGAATCATCTTCATTATTGAATGAATACCAAATTACCAGGCATTCATCTCTCAAAGGCATTGAATCATCTCATTCAGAGGTAACTGATAAATTTTCTCTCGAAAGTTGAATTCCATCTTTTCTGAAGTTTCCAGTGGGCAATATCTCTGTTGATTTTGGGTATAGAAATGTGCCATTGCATTCGGCCAGATCTTATTACTACTTACTAATTTACAAAATATTAACATCAAAACTTCTTATGTAATATGCCACAACATATCGCCGGTGAAACTCCCACACCACATATCTTGTTTATATGGTGTTTGAAATATCCGCTCCTCTTTTATTTTTTTAAAGGAGATAAAGTCAATATGTTTCCTTGAAGTATTCTTAAAATTTTCTATGCACAGAGAAGAACAACCCCGGCAGTCTTTGAGAATTGATGTTGAGTAGTTCTCCATTTAAAGAATGAAGTGTGACAGGAAGTCTGCAACATCGCAAGCTGAGGTACGTCTTTAGGGAGTTTCACCACCATCCTTTGTTATTTAAGGTACAATTTGTCTTCCATATCAAACTCCCCAAAATAGAATTCGTCTCTTAAATGGATCTTGTTAATGTTTCAATGGTGTGAAAATGGGCGTTTATTTACTCTAACTGGGATTTAGTGTGGTATCCTGCTTCATTTTTCAAAGATTTTTCAACTTTTTTTTCCAGACTTCTCATGCTTTTGTCCAACCAAACAACCGAAAATATGTAACAGAAAAAGTAGGAGCAGGTTTTTCAAACTACAACAAATCTTCCGATTATTTACTGAGGTACCCAGGATTTGGCGATTGCGTCTCATCGCAACCAATCATACTCAGTCAGAAGAAGAAACAAGCCTCTGCAGATACCAAAGTTCGAAAGAAAATCAAAGACAAATATCGAAGAGATGGAGCGTCAGTCCGATGTTTGATCCGAGTGAGGAATGATTATTTACGTTTATGTCGCAGGCAAATAGTCAAATCAGGCATATTTTGTCAAATTACGAGTCGTGTAGTCAAATTTTGAAAATGTACAAATTTTAGAAGGTTTTCAAGAAAGACATCTTGAGTTTTGAAAATTCTAAAAGTAAAAATTCATCAAATTCAGGGACTTTCCTCGAATACTCTTCCCCAAATGCTCCTTATACGTTTCAAATGCCAAAATTTGAAAAATTCTTTATTTTATGACATGCAGTACATTTTGAGATGAATGTTAGTTCCAGGGCCAAAGATTATTATGGATAACTTTGTATGATGCACATTCGTTCAGTGAATAATTTCCTTCGTAAACAAACAATATGAATTATTTTGTCTAAAATTAGCAAATGAACCAAAATTTGAATTTCAGTAAAATTATTTGACTATTTGCCCAGGCGTTTGAAAAAATGCTTGATTCAACTATTGCCTGTCACACCCCCAAACTATTATCTAACTTCAAATATTATATTTTATCCACACAGGTGAGCTACCATCAAACTAGTGTGACAAACATCAAGCAAACTAATGCATAGATGTAGGGGAACATCACTTTTTGCCTTGTCAAACTAGTTTCAACTGAGCTAAACCTGGTGGGCACAGCTAATTTTATGCAATCGCTGAACTACATTGGCCAAAGTTCAAAGTAAATTTGCCTTTGTAGATGAGATGAACTAGATTTAGGTACAGGAAGATAGATTATCAGGACACTAAAATGCAATGGGTCTAATTAACGCTGTAATTTTAAAAAACAAAAAATAGATGAAGATCAGTTGCAAAGTTCGAGCAGGAAAAGTTGCCCACAGGCTAATTGCTATTTGTAGTAGTATGTTACGTATTAATTTTCACCATTTTTAGTGAATCGATTTAAAATTCAACTTACCCTTCTTCTTGTTGTAGGTAAATTATCAAATGCAATGGAATAATCCAGCTCCATTCCAAGAGAGAAATTATATCAATTAGGTTTCTGAAGTGTTTCTCTAAACAATTTCTTATTTTCTCGTCTAGTTTGATTTATTTTTCTGAATAATTTTATTTTCTTCTTGTTAATTTTCTTGATCACTATTTTCTTTTATTCAGGAAGCTTTGATAACAGAAAGAAACAACAAGTATGGAAGGAAAAGTTTGACAACAGAAAAAGAAGAGAATTGTCAGTCAAGAAATTTTTCAACAGCTGAGTCCTTTACAAGAATGACAACTTTGCATAGTAAAAATCAATCAGATTTTTCATCTGAAACACATAAAAATAATGTTAAATCATGCTCCTTCAATAAAAAGCCAGCAAACGAACATACCATCCCTGGCGCATTCCAATCATCTAAAAACACATTCTGTCAGTTGTCAGATACGTCGGTGATATCAGAAACTGCCATAGAAGTATCAGCCAGGGCCCACTTCAATGACAAACATCGTAAAATTTTCAGAAGTGAGAGTATGCAATGGCCTAATATTTCAAACTCAGCGAAGAGGGAAGTTACCAAACGCTTCAGTGAAGAGTTCACCAGTCAGCGACCTGTTTTTGAGGAGAGACATTCAAGCACTAGAATAGAGAACGGCACTCACGAAAGCTTCCGAAATGAGACTGTAAAAACGTTACCACCGTCTGGCCATGATTTGAGGACCAATGAAGATTTATCTTCCTCTAATGAGTCACTGTCCTTATACTTCAGGTTAATGGATGTCATAGCGAAAAAACGACAGCAGTTCAAAAAGGAAGAAAGGAGGAGGATGAAATTTCAGGAACCAAAACTTATAAACAAAACTATTGTAGCCGCAAATAAAGACTGAAATAAAATGTAATTATTATTCCTACACTTGGAATTTTTTATTGCTCCTCCTTCATCAACGTATATTTACCTGCACTTAGTTTCCGTCCTCTATAAATTGAATGGCTGTGAGGACAAGGCTTATGAGCAAAGTGTTTTGTAATTATTTGGGGAAATACATATGTGTTCTTAAGTTTCAAAATTACATGGAGCCTTTTGGCGGAATGAAAGTTCAAAATCACAATTTTATGTATAAAAATTGGATTTTCGCAGTGATATCATCACATAATATATTTCAAGACTAGTTCTGGTTGAAATCGCTAATATCTCAATTTTTTCATTAACTGCTTTCATGCGCCTTGACTTCCGAGTCCTTCAACTGCAGTTTTTCTGTGCGCTAGTTTATGTAAATAATTTAAATCCTACTCATAGTCGCAGTTATATTTGGCAAAAACTGATTAGGAATGTTAGCCTCCTTTTTTAATAGAAACAATTCGTAGAAGTCTTTGTTAGTCAGCAAAAAAGGTGATTTGGTGGAGATTGAAAGAAATATTAAGCTAAAATTCAAGCAACTATCCTGGGACTCGCCAAAAAATTTTAAGTCCCTGTTGCCAGCATTGCGATTTCTTTCTGTTATTGCATAACGAGGCTTTAATAATATTTAAGCACATGAAGCTGGGAAAAATAAATTTCTACAAATTTATAAGGTAAAACTGAAAATTTTTACTTTTTTAAACTTTCAGAATATGAGTACGTACAGTAGAACCTTAATTATATTCGGCTTGATGTGGTGCCATTAGGATAACTCTGCATAAGTAATTGCTTTTGATACAGTTGAAGTTCCGCGACATTTTTAATTGAATTCACAATGCATAATTTGAATAATACTTGGTTTTTTGATGACTCTGGCAGTGCTTTTTCAACTTTATTATATGAATAGATACGTTGAACTGCATTGCCTGGTGTAAAACTAAGTACACTAATGAACTAATTTTTGGAGATTGCTCTGTATAGTTATAAGATTCTGCCGGAATGTGTAACTTGGAAAGTTCAAAAGTCGTAACTCTGAATCATGACTCTTCTACTCTCTTTTTTTTAAGCCATAAGGAAGTGGCTGGTAGCAGTAAACTATTTCTCTAAATGCCAAGGAAGTTATCATGGTAATTTTAAACAAAATGCACTCACTCGGAACCTGAAGCTAAATTTAAACTTTTGCCGCCTTGAGCTGACAACAGCTTGCCGCTGCTGAGATTTGACAAGGATGACTTTTGAAGAGAAAAGAAAGAAAGAAAAGTAGACACAGAAACATGAGAAAAGATGAAGTGAGTGAGGTCGTCCCCTTTGAATTCTGCCATCTCCTTCCGAATTTGAATTTGCCGCCATGGGCCGGACAGCTACTTTAGCGCACTCTATCGTAAACATGGCCGACTTTTGTGTGACTTTTGTATACGTTGTTTTTTGTTTTTAGGTTATGTTAAAATAAAATTGAGTGCCCACGTGAGTTACAGAATTCCAAAGTTTTGAAGTAATTTGTCGCTTGATTTGCGTGAATGATCTTCTCTTTCCCTCCTTTTTCTGCTCTTAAGCATTAATTAATTCATGTCTTACTTTTAGCCCTAATTTTTCAAGTTATTGGGATCATCTCCGAATCTGATATTTCCAATCGTTTTACGAATAGGTAACGAATCCTGTAAGTAACACTCATTTTTTTTGTTCTAAGATCCACCTGCTGACGTTCTATTTATTGTACCGCTCAATTTTTTGTATTGAGCTAAACACAGTACCTAAGCTGCGTTGCCAAAGTAAGCTGGTCGGGACTCTTTGAATACTAAATTATCCGATTCCAAATGGTCGGCGTTGTTGAACTCCTGTAGAATTACCAGATGGCCTGTTTGTTTACATTAGAAAGCTTAACGTTTCTCCCTAACGCTGAATGATCTCAGGAGGCCGATAGGACCGTTGGCTTGTGTTTGGAAATAGAAGAACCAAACAGAATCAGACAAGTTGACTTGGACAATGCATCTCAAATCATAGTCCATGACAAATTAACGTAAACATGCGAGTCTGGAAGTCTACAGCTTCAAAACAGTGACCATTATACGCTGATAGAAGAATTGAATTTGCTTAAAGAATTCGCCCGAAAATAGCATATAAATGAAGCCTTTTGGGTTTCTCTACTTTGACTTTCATGGAACCTAACGAATGAAGATGTCCCCTAGACTGAGAGAGGAACGCCCTGACAGTTCGCTTGTAGCAGTCACCCATTGCGATCACAAGCAACCGTTAGTGATCTCTGAGTATTTTGAATGTTTCAGAAAACATGGGGATGAAAAGACAGAAGAAACAAAAGAAAAAGGCCCAATCTGAAATTATTTCCGTCAAAGCTCCTCCTCCTGCAGCAGAAAAGAAGGAAAGTGACGAAGAAAGTTCAGACAATGATCAGGATTTATTGGACGAAGTTGATGAAGAAGATTTGAAGTTTTTGGAAGATGCTGCCAGGAAACGCAGTTATAGTATCCTACCAAAATTGAAAAAAAGACCCAGGTGAGTTTTCTGCTAATAAGTAAATAGACTTTGCCCAAAATTTAAATAATAGAATACAAAAAGGAAAATGGATGAAATGAGTCTTTAAAGGATAGGGGATAAAAAGGAAAAGTTCAACTCGAATATTTCATGCCAATTACTTGCACACCGTCACCCAGAAAAAACACTGAAGTGACATTTCTTTAGAGGGGAAAAGCGATGTCAATTGTGTCGTCTGGGTTTCACATTTATGCCAAGTTTATAGGTTTTTCTGATTTTTACCTTATTAATCAATTGAAAATTTTCAAAAACATTAAAGATTGCTAACTGCAAGTCCTTACAATTTCACGTTAAAAGGAATATATCCACTGAATTTCATCTACAAAGTGCATCTCATGAATCTCTCGTTTTTAGAATTTATTGTTGACCAAATTTCAGCCTGTGTCTCCAAAACAAAAAAGCCTACCTCTCCTATGAACTTCTATTCTTGGAGTCAAAGGCACAAACAAAAGATTTAAGAGAAGCTCAAAACAAAAGTTGAACAAGGGCAAAAAATTTTATGCAGAAACATGACCTAAAACGGACATGGAAATGAATTCAGGACGCTTAAGTAGGTGTCTTACAACATTATCATCAACTGCTGTAAGAATAGAAAATTTAAACTATAAATTATAAATATACATGAAATCTTGGCTATTACACGGCGAGGCTAATGATGCTTTTGGAGTTATTGCATGTTTTCTTTTTGGGTTATTGTAACCAGTCAAGTTAGAATATCTGAGATCCAATTCTTCCAGAGCAGAAGAGTTTTCTGTTTGACAAATACCACAGCTCACATGGCCTCACTTCAAGTTTAAGGATCCTCTGCTATTTTTTCTGTCCCTACAGATTTGATGAAGAGAATATAGAAGAAAAATACCTGGAAGAAGAGGCTAATGAACAAAATGAAGAATCCGAAAAAAGGTATCTGTTACCAATTAAAACCAAGAAAGGAGTCATAAACAGAGTCACAGTAAAGACTGTTGGTAAGTATTTCTAAAGAAACCGAATATTGTGTGTATGAGTTTTTACTTCATAGCAACAGCAAATTCTGAAAAAGACGCAATAGTTTAAACCTGTCCTTCATGATTTACTGTGGATAATCAGTACAATCGACAATAATTTTCAACAGTTCCGTTAGTTTGTCCAGTTTGGTGAAAAAACTACAGAAGAAGTCAGGAACTTTTTCATGCTGTCTGTTAGAGCTTTGTAGGTGACAAGAGCATTGCAAAGTCACGCTGATATGGCACAAATTAATTGAAGCAAAGGAATCATCCTGTTCTTCATAGCTCCTCCCATTAAAATGTACCTGTACATATTCCCTTTTAGCATGAATACATCCTGTTTGCATGAGAGATGTAGAAAATTCAAAACTTTCCCATTTTTTCATTTTGTTCTCTGATTTTTAAAGACTCTGAATTTTTATGATGTAGAAATTGTTTTTCTGTTACCTTTTCGGTTGCTTTTTACCAATTATAGCTATTTTTTCGTGTAAAGCACAATTTTTATGTTGAATAAACTGGCCTCCTCATTTACAAAACTCTATTTTCACCCCTTTAGCTTTTGTTCCTCAGTTGTTTACGTAAGAAGTCTTTGCCCTGGTTTCCATTTAACCCCCCCCCCCCCNAAATGTATTTGTACAATTTTAATAATCCTAGCTTTATCCATTTTATAGATGAAGAAGAACGTCAGTTGGAAGAAGAAAGAAAATTGGAGAGGCGGCAAGAGCAGAAACGATTAAAGAAGGAAGCAGGAAAACAAAAATCAGAAGTAGAAAAGGCAGACGCAGATGAAGACGAAGATTTGGAGTTTGAAGATGAAGAGGAAGGAGACAAAACGGAGCAATTTGTTATTGACCCTAATGAACCCATCAGCACAGCACAGCTGATCGCTGCTCGCGAAAAGCAGCTAGCACGCTTCAAATTAAAAATAGGTCTTCTGGCTAGCCGTACGTTAGAAAATCCAGAAAAAAATGTGAAAAACTTACAAGAGTTACTCCAAATATTGGACAGCTGTCCGATAGATATTAAACTTACTGTCAGCAGATGCGTCATCGTTACAATGACGGAAATTTTCAATGATCTTTTGCCTGCATATGAAATTAAATTCCATGAAGAGGAAACAGATAAAAAACTGAAAAAAATCACAAAAGAGAGGCTGGATTTTGAGCATAACCTTTTGAATGGTTACAAAAATCTGCTCGTCAAATTAGAACAGTTTGTCTCAGCTCTGAATAGAAAGAGTAGCAATAATCTGGAGTTGAAATTAAGCAAACTGTCAATAAAATGTCTCAGTGATTTGTTAGTAGCTCATCCATATTTTAATTATGCAAAGAACATTGCTCAGCTTCTAGTTGTCTATTTAAATTACAAAGATTCTGGTATTCGAACCATTGTAGCAAAGGGTATTAAGCAGATTTTCCGACAGGACAAAAAAGGTCTAATATCCTTGATAATCACTCGCTTGATCAACCGACTAATCAAAAATCGTAATCAGGAACTTTATGAGGATGCAGTTCTGGTCCTTTTACACCTGAGGATTACAAAGGTATCAAACGTTTTCACTCCTTATGATATAGTAAATACCGTTTTTTTCTATCATATTGCCTGTTAATCATTCCTCCTTTTGTATCCTTTTCTTTATAAGAGAAAACTTTTTGATGGATTTAATTATATTCAGTTGTCTTTAAAAACTGTTTTAGCACTACCACTCTAAAATTTTAGCAGTTGTTCAAGCAGAGAGTAGCACGCTGATTGTTCCAAATCCTAGAATAATCCATCCAAAAGCAAAAACAATCCAGCCTGCAATTTAACTATTGGTCTGTTTGCTGTCCTGGTGCGTACAGCTTTGCTCTTGAATGTGTGTGCAAAATAATCATATTTGCTCCTAGATACATTGACTCTTACTCTATCACACTTCAATTTTGTTCTTCACAGTGTGCCAATTTCTCAAATTTTTCAGGTGAATTTAAGTGCTGAAGACGAACAGCGAGACGATAGGCGGAGATTCATAAAGCGGCAGAAAGTTCTTATTCGACTCTCTAAAAAGCAACAGAAACATAAGAAAAAGTTGGAAAAACTTGAAAAAGAGCTCCTAGAAACCAAGGGCGAAGAAGACAGGAAAAAGAAACAAGACTGGCAACTGGAGACAACTCATTTAGTTTTCACAATCTTGTTTAGGATTTTAAAGAAAGTTCCCAATAAGGACCTGTTAAGCGCCGCTTTGCAAGGATTAGCTAAGTAAGTACATATTTGTACATAATAATAATGTTCACTGGTAATGAACTCATAAGACAGTACTCGTCTCCCAAAAGCTCAGCCCAACTAAAAGCAGAAATAATCTGTGCAGAATCAGAACTAATTTCTGCCATGTTGTATGCGACTCAAGGCAAAGACTCCACTAAGCTTAGGGGCTGTCCATAAGGTACGCTAGACACCAAGGGTTAAGGAGGGGTCAAGAGGTATCCTACTGGGAGAAGGAAGGGGGGTAAACTTTGCCCTATGCACGCCATAATGCATGTTTGAAAAAAGAAAAAATGAAATTTGAAAATTAATTTCTCCTGAAAAGTGTCGGAATTTTTTTTTTGCTCTTTCCCTTTTCTCCTCAGTTGTGTTTATTTCTTCCTTTCAAGTGTGACCGTTCACAATTAGTATTTTTCGAAATATCTTTCCTGAGAATACATTTTTTGCTTCAAAGGCTGATTTAATTATTCAGGGGGGGGGGGAGTTTCAAAGAATGATTTTCCCCAGGGGAGAAGGGGGGGTCTAAAAACAACCAAAAAACGTAGCATAATTTATGAACAGCCCCTGAACTCTTCTCTCAGTTTTCATCTAAATCTAATGAAGATTATTTCTCCAAACGCCAGTACATTAGCTGCAGTTTGACCGAAGCAATCAGTTTCTTAATTCTTTTTATTTTTAATCCTTGCACTTAAAACAAACTTTGAGAGAAATCACCACAGTGAATCATCCTGATAATCTTTAATGATCTCAAATGAATCTATGCTTGATAATGTGATTCTAATATGTGAGATAGGCCCCAGCAATTTGTATGAATGCAAAACTCAACTAAGCGAGGCAAAATTGATCAGTATTTATATCAGTTGATGAAAAATGGGAGACCTGTAGATAGCCAATTTTGGTATAACAGTGCCTTAAATACAGTATTTGAGGTATTTCCTTTACTTTCAGATATTCTCAATAAGAGATGACAGGAATGATCTTAGCAACAACTATACTGATGCGGGCTTTCTGTATGTAGTCCCTGTGAAAAAAAAAAAATTGATTTCTTTGATTTGTAAATGTGCTTTTTCTTGAACCCTAGGTTTGCTCATTGTATAAATTTGGAATACTATCAAGACATAATGAAGGTGCTCAATGATTTAATTGAAGAAGAAGATGAGGGTTTGCAGAACCGCGAACAGCTCCTGTGCGTTCTGACCGTCTTCAAAATCCTCTCAGGCCAAGGCGAAGCTCTAGATATCCAACCACTGAAATTTTTCTCTCATCTTTATGCCAGTATCCTAGAAATTCATGCTGGTTAGTAACATTCTTTAATATTTTGTTTATTAAAATGAAGAAGAAACAAATTTTGCGTGAGAGCTTTTTTTTTAAAAAAAAAAAAAAAAAAAAAAAAAATAAAGAAAATTGAATAATTTCAACCTACCTTCCCAAAACCATAGACTTACCTTCTAGTGGGTTCTCTTTCAGCAAAAAATTAAAAAGATGCAATAATCTTCTTGTATCTATGTAGTGATCAGAAGTGAAAGTATGTTAATATATTTCTGAAACAATGTTTTTTCTAGGTAAGTCGTTTTTATTAAATTTCAGCCTTCGGTTTTCATTCAACTTCAATTTCATTTTGAAATTTTGCATTAGTGGAGTTACATCAATTTTCATAATAATCAATAGAATAAAAAAAAAAAAATCCAAATTAATTTTTTTCTCTAAAAAAGAATCCCCCCCCCCCCCCCCCATGTATCTATTCCATTTCTTTCTTTTTTCCAGGTGAGAACATTGAAACTCTGAATCTAGTGATGCAATGTTTAGAGGAATTACTTTCAACGTTCAGAAGGAAATTGACAAAGGAGAAACTTATTGCATTCACCAAACGAATTACCACCTTTAGTTTGCAGACATTGCACAATGGAACTTTAAGCTGTATGGCGTTGCTGTTTTCAATGATGAAGGTATTTTTCCCCTTTTTATTCTTACCAAAAGCAAGTTTACCAAACTTTTAAAAAACATTAATCCAGCTTGGACCATCACCTCCTCTTATTTCATAAATCCATGTGATTTCAAGAAACTTGCCCGTAAGCGCTTTTAATTTTTACACTATGTTGTGTGGTATTACCGAAGCTTTCAGCTTTTACTTGCATAAAGTCCATGGAGAGGAGAAGAAAATTTCGGTTTTTCTCAGAAAAATTGTACCTGCTGTTGATTTCCTTATACAAATAGTTGTGATTATAATACTTGCATACTTTCTCTTCCTCTTTGATGAACATTGCACAACCAATATTACTTACTCCAACACATTATTCAACTCATTTGCAGAGTTGCAGAAAGTTCTTCGCACTCAAGTAAATCAAGTTTGCTCTCAGAAAAATTCTATCTTAGTATAAGGGCTTAGTATGCAGAAAAGGACCCATTTTTGTAAAAAAAAAAAAAAAAAAAAAAAAAAAAAAAAAAAAAAACCAGCGTGTTTAGCTAATTTCTTCATTAAAACCAACACACAGTTGGCTTCTTTCACTAAAATCTATGCTGCCTCTTGTTTCCAGAGAAGTGGAAAAAAGGAAAAATGGGGGAAAAAAAAAATCTGTGACTGCTCTCGCTAAAAGATGCATCAAGATTATGACTATGCAATTTAGCATTTTCAGGACCCATGCTTATTTATATTCCTACAAGAATTTACAAGAGGTAATTTCCTCTTCTTTTCATCTCTTTTTATAAAATTTTGTGAAAGATTGTCTCAGTAATACAAATTTTCCTACTCAATCTTTACAGTGGAACAAAAATATGGAATTGTTGCTTGATGTCGAAACAACTTTTGGTCAAGGTGTCTATCATCCAGAACTGAAGGAACCAGACTTTTGCAATGCCAGCAGTACCGCCATGTGGGAATTGACTGCTCTAATGGTAATTTTTCCCCCTCTCTGCTAATTGTGTTTTCAAAAGTAGATTTGCTTTACTCTACTAATAAAATTAAGCATTAAATCATTCAGGGCAAACAAGAAAAAACACTAAGATAAAAATATTCTTTCAGAAGAGTCCCATTTTTGCCATTCTCAAAAAAAGGGCTTTTTTTGCATTTAAGGGTTTTAAAAAACTTGATAAAGGGTTAAAAACAACTTGAAAAATTCTCAGAAGCTCAGTTTTTTCTGTACTTTCAGAATATGCATTTTAAAAAGTGGGTGCCACTGGCTCATTTCTCTCAGGGTTACTACGGTCAGAGATTTACGGGAGAACCAGGAAATAACATGGATTTAAAAAGTATAGGAAAATGACTAAGTGTCAGGGAAAAATTGTTTAATCACCTCTATTTGTGTTGTAGTTTGGGTGTGACGTTTCGAACAGTAAATTTTGCCTACGAACTTTTTCAAATCTTGTCTTTCTATCCATTTGGCATTTCCTCGAATGTCCAGGAGTTTTACAAAACTGTGTGTGGAAATTTAGAAAAATGTCAGGGAAATTCATTTTCTGTATTCTTTGGTAACCCTGATTTTGTTTTATTGCTACATTTTCTGAAAAGTCTGATTTTTTCCCGCAGCGTCATTATCACCCTTCTGTTCAAGAATTTGCACCGCATATCTGTTCAGGAGCTTTAGATAGGAACAGCACTATTCCAGAGGAGCTAAGAAAGTAAGTAAAACGGTTTTTCCAACAATTTTTCTTCTGGTTCCTGTTGACCGAATGCCCTCAAGAATTTTTAAATGTACAGAAAGTAGTAAAATATGAGAGGTATTAGTACCGTGAAATACAGTTGTACTAATTCTGGTAAAATCCATTAATTTTACTTTTGGTATCAAAGTGTTTTACCTGGTGGGGGGAGGGGGACCATGAAAAAGGAATGAAATGAAATTAAAAAATTTTCCATGAGCCCTGACTTGAACGTAGGATGTGCTAGGTGAAACAAGCAAGTTAACAATGAGCCGTTTTGGTTCTTCTTATTGCTCATGGTTCTTTGAACAATATTTTTTATGCGTTACTCAATGTGAGCTGCTCAGCTGTTCTATTCAATTTCCAGCGAGTAAACGCTGATTTTTGCTCATGCTTTTCGGAGGGGTTTTCTCACCTCCATTCATAAAAACAAAACAAAAAATGTGCCCCTAAAATTATCTTTTGTATATTCATACAAAATTTCAACTCAATTTTTGGGTTACACCTTTGAAGTTCCTCTGATGAGTCAAAAAAGGAAAATTTGGGGTGAATTTTGTTTTTCATGTGTTCCTGTGACTGAAGAATATTTTGTTGGAGAATGAGTTGAATCAATAGGAAGGCCCCAGATGAGAGATCGATTAAATTCAGAAGACTGGAAATCCCAAGAGGAATGAAAGTGAAAGGTAGGGGTGCAGAAACATCCCCAACACGTTACCAGCCGGTTGAGCGAGGCTGCTGAACCTCTGTAGAACAAGGCGAAAACAGAAGAGCCCCTGTGCTAACAAGAAAAATGAGGGAAACCTTACAGATTTTTTCCAAATTTTGCGGTTTACAGCGTTTTAGCTGTGGAAAGTTTTTTTGTTTTCTTTTAAATAAGTTTGCATGGGGAAGTGATCATGAATTTAGGTCGAAAAAAGGGGAAGGCGTGGAGATTTCTGCACCTCTGGTGAAGGGATAGAGAATTTAGAACCAAGATAGGTCTCAGTGACAAATTATTGCCCTGCTCACACAGAGCTTCAGTGCTAGAGTAGGAGAAGACTTGTGAAGTTACTTCAATTTAAAACCAAGGATTAAATTATATTGAATAAGATTTTGATATGCAATTTGTCTAAAGCGCCTTAGACCAATCAACCAGCCACCACTGTGAAGATTTAATAATAGTATTGCAGGCATATTGACATTATATCGTAAATCCTCAGCTTTTTGCATTTGAATTGTCTCTCTCATGAATCCAACATGTCTCAAAGTGATTTACCTTGTGGTTTTTTTCAGGACGAGTGTTGAGCTTTTGAACGAATATGATCCTCACACAGTTGCATTCAAACCTTCTGTGCCTCCACCGGAAATTCCCACAAATGATAAGCGTCTTACATTGCATTTCTTTGAGGTCAAAGATAAAGATCTCAAAGTTCAAATTGATGATGCATTCGACAAGGTGAAAAATGTTGATTTCTCCAGTTTGATGATCAAAGGACTGTAAAAATACTTATTTGCTGTTATTCCTGTACAGCTTGTTTTATTTAAGATTTTTCAATGTAAAAGAAATGTCTTTATTTTATTTTTTGAGTATTCTCCTTGTCAGGAGAGCCAGGTATGCATTTTTTGTGTGTAAATAATTTGTGAAATGATAACATTAAAAACAAAAATAAAGGAACCAACGTTTATTTTAGAAACAAATTTTCAAAGTATAAATCCAAATCAAAGTATATGTATTAATATACATGTGATTGTTGACTATGGTTCTTGTACAAATATTTCTGTTCATTTGTATTGTTTCATCCTCTGTCTTTTAAATCATGTGTTATTTAATTCTAAGATAAAAAAGCAATAAAATTGGTTTTGCCATGATTCCATGAGCATATTTTTCTGTTATTCTTATCTTTAATATCCTACTGACAAAAGACAGGATGTTTCATAAAAAATAGCCAATTTTTTCAATAATACTTACTCATACATCTCTAAAGTTTTTGATAAAAGTTCAAATTGCTGTTTATTCCTTTTGGGGGGCACACCGTTTATGAGCATCCAAATTTTAGTATTCCATCATAAGGAACTTTTGACTGCTGTTTATAGAACAAAAATTAAAACAAAATTAATGTAGATTGCTGATGATTTGTGGTGGAATGGTTCTTGAAAATGTTTGACACTTTTTGTATTTAATTTTGAAAGTTTGAAGTGGACATTTTAGAAAAAGAAGCTTTGGTTTTTTTTTATTTTTAAATTGAACTATTAGTGTTTTTTTTTTTTTTTTTTTTTTTTTTTTTTTTTTTTTTTTTGTATATCTCATTTTCATGAATCTAGATAGCCTTGTATCTGTATCTAGAGTATCTGTATCACCAAATTACAGCAACAAGTAGCGGCAACGTCAAAACTCTCTGAAAATATAAGTATTTTCAGCTAAACTGGCAACAACCGCAGTTGCCGGCTTTCAGTTTTTATATGTTTTGATTTTGATTGAGCTTTTGAGGTTAGTTTACAACATGGACCAGTGGTGAGGGACTGTTTTCGTCTTCCCTTGGTGAAAGTATTTTTATTATTCCTATTACTATGATTTCTATAGAGTTTGAAATGTGTTGACAGTTCAACATGTCTTACCGTCTCTAATTAGGAACATACTCTTTGATTCTAACGCTGTGATTCTGATCTTTTCGTAGTGTGGGTTTTCACTTTCTCTTCTACCTAATTAAAATTTCATTAAAGACAGTCTTTTCTGTCAGCACTATGAATATGAACATCTAAAATTTTCTATCATAATTTGTCTTTCAATCGACAGTGATAGGATATTGAATTTTCTCCATGATCGACATTTCTTGGTAAGTTTTGACACCTCTCCTAAAATCTATCCAACAGATGTTTTAACTCGGAAGTTCTAATATCGTTTAAATTGTGTTGGAGAAGGGAACCTAAATTTTGGCTTCAGTTTTCATCACGTAGGCATTAAAATTCTTAGAGTAACAAGAAGCCAAAGTAAACATAATTGGAACCAAACAATCTGCGAACTCGAAAGCATTACATAACCAAACATCTTAGCTGATTCCTGAGCATGGATTTTAGCCTGTCAACCTGTTGATGTAGTTTTACTGCAACTCCATGGTGGCACCTTCTTTTAATCATATTTCAACCTGTCTCCTTACTTACCTCTGATTTGCCGCATGTTCCATATGTGGGGATGTATTCGTAGACGCTAAAAGAAAAAGAAAGAAATTGGGAATGAAAAATAAATCCATGGTTTCGAGAGAAATTGAATGCTGTGGATTCTAGAATCTACCACCTCTTTTTCTAATTGTAGTTTGGACCAAAAGAAATTTGAAACTAGGTGAGGAAACAGCTGAAGCCTTTTAAGCTTTTTAATCTTCGGATACCGTTGAATGCATCCTCTCCTAATTTCCATCGATTCTGAAATCAATCCTTGGTGAATTCAGTAAGCATGAACACTTGCTTCAATTTCTGATGGTCCCATCGTAAAAAAAAAAAAAGAAAGAAAAAAAAAAATTGATAACATTTTCCCATCATAGCTCATCATCAAATACAGCGTTTATCTGCAGCAAACTTTGTGAAATGAGTAGCACTTGCAACCAGTTTTTTTTTTTTTTTTCATGATGGTAAATGTAAATATTGAACAACATTTGCCTAACACACCAAAATCAGATGCCATACCCAGATATTTTAACTTATTTATTTTTAAGATAAAATTATCTAATTGGTCTTTTCTTCTCTCCATAGAAACTGAAGATTAATCATGTTCTCTGCGTTTAAAAGATTAACTAGCAAAAATGAAGCAGGTGACGCCCCGCCGCCAGGGCTTTCTACAATGTCCTCAAATCTCCAAAGGAAATTTGCAAAAGGAGTCCAGTACAACAGTGAGTAAATGATTAGATATATTTACATAACAATTTTTGATTGATCGCAAATGTTAGTCATTCAGGTTCAGCAAAGAAAAAAAATTATCTAAGCAGATAACACTAGCCCGAAAGGTAAAATTTATCATTAGTATTTATTATCACTTTTATCTGTCAACCCTCCTCCATATAAAATGGTTATTCATGCAATACCTACATAACTCAACAAGTCAGAGTTTCGACGATCCCCCTCCCCCCTCCTCCAGAGACACCTGTTACAAGCTTTCTCCCCCCGAAAAATTACGTAACGTTCCTTTTGATCCCTTTCTCTCCAACAAGCATTTTTTGATGAAATATATTGACCTTGCATCAATTTTTCATCTTTAATTTAAAAAAATTCGGCGTGCTTGTCATTCTAGTCATATGTAACGCAGCTCTAGCAGATACTCCCCCCCCCCCCCCCTCGAGCATGGCATATTCTATGAGTGATCCTGGAGGAAAATCCACCCTTCTACAAAATTTAAGATGAACAGATCCCAGTCAGTATTTTTAGTGGTGTCAATTAAAGGTGACTTTTGATATCCGAACCAAAAAGATAGGATTGGAAATGTTTGGCAGAATACACATTGTGGGTTAGAGATGCGATTTTTCTAATGATAAATTCTCTGTGTACAAAGATTAAACAATAATAAATATACAGGATTGAACATCGCGCACTGTTTTAAAAATTACTATCATTACCAGCTTGTTTTTTTTTCATTTTCCAGTGAAAATTATCATCAAAGGGGATCGCAATGTTGGCAAAACTTGTCTATTCACACGTTTACAAGGACGAGGATTTTTACAAGAATACAATCAAACCGAAGAAATTCAGGTAAAAGAAAATAGCATTTTAAGTATAAAAAATTCTAAGCTCATTATGAATGTTCAACTGTCATAAAATTAGCGTCATGTTTCACAAGACAAAAATCAAAGAAAACACCTTGGGGGAAAAGGAAAACTTGGGTGTCTAACAGCAATCTACTTGTAGTGTGAAAATGGAGTATTTAAAGTCAGTCCTGACAATCCTTTCCCTCTGAAATTCACCTTGTTACATCCCAACATGCAGTCAAAATCATTCAAAGGTTTTGGCCTTTTTCCTTATTATTAATTGAAGTTGCATTATTTGGACGGTAATTACTAGTAGAAATCAAAACTTTCTCTGATTCCAGGTTGCTAATATTCAGTGGAGTTATAAAACTACCGATGATGTTGTTAAAGTTGAAGTTTGGGATGTTGTTGATAAAGGCAAAAAGAGAGTTTTGAATGAAAATTTGAAGCTTGGTTTTAATACCCCTGTGGAACCTGTTGCGCTGGATGCGGAAACTTTAGATGTTTACAAAGGAACTAATGGAGTGATTCTTGTTTTAGATATAACCAAAAATTGGTAAGTTTTGCAAGATTTTCTTCTTTCTTCTTCTTCAGAATTCAACATTTGTATATTTTTACAATCATTTACAACCAAACTGAGCTCAACAAAAGCACACCAAGTTGAAATTCGGAAAAAACTAATTAGGGAGTAGTTATGAATTCAACTGATCGTAAATTTTCTCCTGCTAAAAATGGGAAGTCGAGAAAAAATATCTTGAGCGTGAAAACAGTTTTTAAATGTTGTAGTTTAAATTTAGTCCTATGAAGGATTAAAGTTTCAAACCTCTTTGCCCTTCTTCAAACTAGATACAACTTCGTTCTTTTCTTCAAGTATTAAAGTTCCAACTCCTTTCATTAGAATAAGCCTATGAAAAACCATGTTGAATCTGCAAGGAGTAAGCTATATTTCCGAACTTTGTCCAAATCCAAAGAAAGTATGGACCCAAAATACCAAGGCTGACAAGGTGTTGAGTGAGGTTTGATCAGAATAATAATTTTGTTAAAGTATGATATTCGCTATTCATTGGAACTTACCATCCCTTTTTTCAGGACTTTTGAATATGTTCAACGAGAGCTTGATCGTATCCCAGATTCAATTCCTGTTTTAGTCGTTGGGAATCATTGTGACATGGCCCATCATCGAACTGTCTCTGCTGATCAAGTTTCTTTCTACTGTGAGCAATTGGTCAGGTATGTATCATGTGCTGTAAATTCTAACAGTGTAAGATAACGATCATCTTTGTTTTCATTTTCAAAATCCCCGCTCTTGGCCATTTTATTTTTGTGCGCAACCTGTGAGTGGGTCATCCAGTTGGAAAGTTCCTTGCACCTGTCCATAGACTCTACAAATTACATTTAATGAATCATCTTTTGATTTAGGTTGATTTATCATAACGCTTCTGAAAGAGGTGGGAAAACAAGGTGTCATTTTTCCTTAAAAATGTTGATTCAAAACAATGTTCCGAATTATGGTTTGAAAAATATTGAGATTAATGTCATAGAAAGTTGATAAGAAATACTTAGGTTCTGAATTGTAGCTTTTGAAAAATGAGGTCCAAAACAATTTTGCCGTATTTAATATCAGATATAATTATTAACCAGAAGAGGGTTTTTCCTAGGAGTTGAACATGATCCTCTTTCGATCCCTCGCAGAAAAAAAAAGTTGCTGAAGTAACATCCTGGGTGTTAAAAATCGATGTTAAAACTCTTGAATGTTGATATAAACGCTATGGTTGTTAATTCAACGTAGCCAGGATGTTACTGAACAGCCGAAATGCCCCAAAGTTGTTGCGCAGATTTTTAACATCCAGGATGTTACTTCAGCAACTTTCTTTTTCCATACTCCTCACCTTTTTTTCAACCCCCAGCTGGCACCCATGCATCTGTGGATGCCCCCCCAAAAAATGGTCTGCATGAGAGTTATACAACCCTGTCCTTCTGTTTGATCCTGGTTGCTTTAGTAAAAATGATCCTCAAATTGACTACGGATAATTCGAATGATGGATAATCAAGGTGCGAATAGTTGAGACTGAGTTTCAATTAGCCGCTCAGTTGACTCATCTATTAATTCTGTGAGCTGACAGCATTACAACATGCTTTCTTCCCTAAAGGCCAAAACCCTCAAACTTAGTTCCAGGAATTGTTAAAACGTACCTAAACATTTTAAAGAAGCATCTCAAGCAATGTAATGAGGGTTTATTCTAATTTCATCTCTCGATTCGAATCAAACGTTTTTTTAAAGAAAATATTACTCTTTATTTTCATAGTTTCATTTTTTCGTTCTCTAGGAAAGCTCCCATTAGGTATACTGAGGCGTCAATGTCAAATGGTTTTGGTCTAAAATTTTTGCACAAGTGGTTCAACTTGCCCTTCCTACAACTTCAGCGAGAAACTCTCATAGGCCAACTAAGAACCAATGAACGAGAGACTGATCTGATGGCAATGGAGTTAGATGTATATCAGAAAAGTGATGAGGCTAGCTATGACTGGTAAGAAATCCATCAATACTGTATCAAATGAATGCATCAAAAATAACTTTACAAAAAAAATTATTTTTATAGCTTTGTTTTATTAATTTTATTTTCCCTCTTAAATTTCCTTTTTTTAAAGCAGCATCTCTAGTTGCTATGTTCCCCAAAGTAAATTATTTTACAGTTTGTTTTCATAAGCCCTTTACACGTCAGTCCTAACATATTATGTACTCTATGAAAATATATTTTTTGAAAATAAGGTGTTCTGCAAATTTTTAGAGTCTAGTGGAGTCTAATGGAAAAAGTTCCTAAGGTCACCTCCCTTTTCTAAGTAAAATTCATTATTTCCTATAAATTATCACAATACCTCTATGTGTAAAGTTCTTTTCTAGAATTCAACACTACCATGACTTTCCATGGATGAACCTACCTAGATGTTCTCTGTGTTTGCCACAATCCATGCAAAGAAGCAGTCATACTCATTAATCATTTAAACCCTTCAAAAACTTTGTCCCACAACGAAAAATTATTTGAGATCCACCTTCTTTTACTCCTCCTCCCTTTTTTCAAAGGACTTGTTAGATGGATGTTGTGAGGATTCAAAAGAATTCATGCTATTTTTGCTGCAATTTTGAGGAAACCACATAATCTTCAGAGAAGTTAATTTTAGAAAAGTTATCCATGCCTTTTGCCCCTTAAAATGTCCAACACTTATCCAGGTATTTTGTGCTAATCTTTTCCGAGTACAAGAGTTAATTTTTTGCCATTTTATTGGCGAGTTGGTGCTTTAATAAAACAGCATCGCGAGTATTTGAACATTTTAGTATTGGGTTGAAGGTTAAAAGCATTCACTATCACCTGATGGTCCAGTAGACCCTCTTTCACAACGAAAACCAGCAATTAAAATTTATGAGAAAAAGTTAACTGGCCAATCAGGAAAATCCATATTTTATTCCTTCCTCTTTTTTTTCAGTTTCCTAGATAGACTTACAAACAAACGACGGCATGTAGCAGATGTGAACTCTTCGGTCCCTGCTGTACCTGGTGTCATTCCTTCTGCACCCGCTCCTCATCCAGTTTCTTCCATACCAACTGCTGCAAACAAGAGCAATGGACCATCAAGTAGCATTCTGCAAAGCCAGTCGTCACCGAATTTAGCTGGGCAGACCAATAAAGTCATGGAAACGCCTGTTAAACTCGACTTAAGAATAGGTAACGAATAATTTTTCTTTTCCAGAGTAAGACATGATTATATCTCAGTATGTCTAATGCTCACTTTCTGAAACTGATCGGAAAATGAAGAACCACCCAAAAATTTGTATCATTGCTTTGTTCAACTTTTGTAGAAAGTTGCTCTTTTCACCTTCCAGACAGCTCGAACGGTGTGAAGCTGGCACAAGACTTTGCAATCAAATTTAAGTTCAGTGAAATTTCTGTGAATAAAATTAGACTATACCTTGACTCTGAAATTGTATTTTATAGGAATAAATATTAAATGATGTCTTTCTCTCTGAAGAAGTAGACCTCTTCTTTTCGGGAGAACTTCAGTTTCCTTTCGCCAAACCCAATCTTAATGATAATCTTGCATTGATGTTTGTATAAAAAATTAAATTTCGTGAATATGCTTAATTTTCCAAAGCACGGCAAACTGTCAAAAAAAACCCTCCTTTTTCTAAATTTTCGTGAGTCATATTGAGCCCTCTATGATGTCTTATTTTTATTTTCTAGACAAACAGTCACTAGATCGAACAATAAAAAGTGTAGAAGAATTCGTACCCGAAGAGCGCCTGGATGGCTCCTTCTTGGAGGACACGTCTAATCCCACAACTCCCCAGAAGAGAATTGATCAGAACACAGCAGCAGAGTCGGACAGTGATATTGAAACCGATAATCCACTAGTAGCTAGTTTTCAAGACGATTTGGATCCAGATGACTTCAGTGTACCAGCCTGTCAGGTACCTGTTTCTCTTATTTCTCACTCAACATGTTGAAGGAAAAGCCCATTTTTCAAGAGAGCGAGGTTTTTCATTTGGATGGAAAACTCAGTGTTTTAGTCTTCGGCAGAAAATATCTGGTACTGTAAGATCTTGATTTATCAGATCGCGATCTATAGGATTCCGCGATTTGACAGACATAAAACATGAGGATACAAAGAGTTAAATAACCCTTTTAGCCCTATGGTCTTCTGCATTCCAATACAGTCAGTTGTACCAGAGATGTGAAAAAGTTGTTCTCCTTTTTGAGCCCAAATCTTTGATAACTCGAGCTTTTGTGTTGAGGCAAAGAATCCATTTAAAATGTTCATAGTTTCTATCTCTTTTGTGAGCAGAAAAAGTGTTCTCATCAAGTAACAAACGAAAATATATTTCATGCGCCATTTACTTTTATCACGACGCTTGACTCTTTTTGTTTCACTTTCAGCCGGACTGGAATGAAAGTAGCTTCCTCTGTAGACCAAGCCCAGAAGGAGGTGAAGATGTCAGTGATGATGTTAAAGATAGCGTCGCCACACTTACAATTTCTGAAAATGAAACAACTGTGCCGAAAAAGGTAAGCAAAATTATTTGCAAATATTAATTGAAACTAGTTTTTCCTCATCTTCCTGGTGAAAAATCATGAAGACAAGGAAACAGCAAACCACCTGCATAGCAGAGCTATTGAGAATGGTGAAAGTTAAATCTGTGAAAGTTAAACCATTGCATGTTGTTAGAGTGAACAAATTTTTTTCTTGTTCTTTTCCTTGCGAGAAGATTCAGATTGTCTACTGTCAGTGAAAACCGGATGAACTGGAAAATATCAGGAAATTCTGTGTCATCAAAAAAATATAAGGAAAATCGAATATGGATTAGAAAATTCTGAGTGCTTCAAGAATTTTTCAAATATTTGAGTCAATTCATCCAATATTTTGATATGTTAAATCACATGAGTGTTGATTTATTCATGCAAAAAGTAAAAACATTCAGGTTAAATATCAGGAAGAATCAGGAAATTCAGGAAAATCAAAAATTAAATTTAAGTAGACAGAATAAACCCATATCAATTGACTATCTTCTAGGAAATTGGGAAAAATGTTCGCTCAATCTGAAAGCATTTGGATTATAGTAGGTTTTGATTTTAGCTTCTCCATTAAAACATGCTTGAATTACCAATGATTTTAAGCTCCAGCAATAAATTGCAAGTGTATAGGTACTAGTATCTCCTTTTTCTTCCTGTTCTGAAGCTTTTTTTTTTACAAATTAAAGAAGAAAAAAAAAAACAAAAGAAGGGATCCAGTACATTAATGATACAGGATGCTAGATCATGGAAGTAGAAAACAACATTGTATTTGACATCATGACCAAACCCTTTGTCTGGTATGGTCATGCAAGAAAGAATAGAACAGGTCTCTTGTTTTGCTACCAGGACTATATTTTGCAATAAGGAACTACAATTCCTTGCTCATCTGTAAAAACACTTATGTGCATAGGTAAACTAATGGTGCATACGTTGTTTTTAAACTGAGCCAGAAATTGTAGTTTCTAGTAGCAAAATGTAAGCTAAAACTAAATAATAAAGTCCAATTATAAGCTTAAACCATCAGAACACGATTCTTTGACCAGTGCATTTGCTATTCCCTTCTAATTTGCCCGGGCTTTCCTTTTCAGAATAAAGAAGAAAAGTCAAAATCCAAAACGAAGGACAAATCCAGCAAAAAGAAAAAAAAGCGGGAAAAGGAGAGAAAAGATGAGTTAGAGGAATTCTTGAACTCCCCTGATGGAGCTTACCAAGCCTTGTAAAAGAAAAAAATTAAAAAAACGTGAGGAAGAATTTGAAATGTTTTAAACGTAATTGGTAAGTAAGAAGATGACTTAAACAAGACTAGTGTGGCATGTTCAACACAGGAACTGCTGCTTTGATACTCGAGATTCATTTCTCTCTGACAAAGTGAATCGATCGGCGATCAGTTAACTACATTTGATGATCGAGTTTTGCCTGCCGTTCACTTAGAAATTAATAATGAAGCTTGAGGAACATGCAGAATTTCTGATCTTTCATTTTTTTGTTTTATTTTTGAACAAAAAACTGAGTTTTGTCATTTCTTGAAAACTTTTGTGATTTTTTTTCTCCATGTGAAAAATATTCCATGAATATTCAAAACCATGGAGCTGGTCAATTTTATCTAGTAGGATAAGACCAGAAATGTTGAAACTCGATGTTGCATTGAGTTTTTCCATGTACTTTCATTAGAGAATTGTGCGCAACAGCTGAGATACACTCGGTTGAAAAAATGATACAGTTGGAGTTCATATTCTTATTGACAGATATTATATACCTTATACTCAATCTCGGAAAGACATGTGGAAGTTGGAGCAGGATGTACATTCGCCCGGTGCAAGACGAGAATTCTCCAATGTAGTTTACAGCGCTTCTACTTTCAGCGTGAGAATTCTCAAGTTTGGTAATGAAAAGGTTAAGTCAGGTGCTCAAAAATGTGATTTATGAACTGAGAATGATGTTACAATCAAGATTATGTGTTCACTTTATTCTTGACAGCCAATCAAGGTAGATGGCAAGCAGCAAGCTCATTTTCAAAGAACTATACTTTGTTCCCTTTGGAACAAAATTTGCTGCTGGATTTACCTTCTGTTCTTGTACAAAAGGAGAAACATACTGTTTTGTCCAATATGACTGTATCGCATCAGTTTTTGTACAGTAGATGGTGTGGTGATCAAGACTGCTAAATCCTCTGTAGTAAAAATTAAGTCAGGGCAGTCATTGAGAAAAAATAATCAAATCGAGAAACCTCTTGTCCAAAAAACTTTCATTCCCAAAAGTTAATGTTAAATTTTTTTTTTTCTTAATTCAAAGCCGGCAAGTATGGAATTACCTTTCAAGCGGCAAATCAGAATATTGGTGCAAAATCTTAAGAATAATCGGAATGTTTGTAAATGAAAAAGCACTTGTTATCTTCTGTTCTATTTTCTTTGAAATTTCCTTCGCTTTTTTATGTTGATAGCCATCTTGTTTTGTATTCTTTATTGTTATTCAGTCAAATGTTGATGGAGATTACTCTGATGTTCTCAAGTAAATAAAGAAATAATATTTGCAGATGAATTTTTGACAATTCTATTCCCGTAAAACAAGTCTTTGCTCAAAAATTTTTGCCACAAGGCAAGAAGTCTAAAACAACTTTTGAGATCGTTGTCGCAAAAAATCAATTTTTGAAATATAATTACATCACCATTTCTAAGAAAAGGATTTTTACCTAACTTAGTCCTGGACTCCCCCTCCTCCTCTTAACACATTCATTATGCAGGCCCATACCCTTCTTAGAACACTACAAAATTTTTGAATGGCTTCCATTTGCTTTTGAGAATTTCGTAAAAATCACTTAATATCAACCAGGGAACTTCCTGATTTTCCATTCTAAGTTAACACTCCATGATTGCAGGAATTCTTTTTGTATTGAGGACCGATGGAGGTTTTCTACACTTTTTAATGAGGAATGACTTCTATTCATTGTGGAATTAGTATTTATCAGTAATATGTTGACTGATTTTCTTAAGTGAATGAGTAAAGAGATAAATTGAATCAGTGAGAATCAAAACACACCAACTCGGTACCTCGAAAATGCTCAATTTTCATTAAAGGAAGTAAGTTTTCGTAAAGGTCATTGAAGTTAGCCCATCTGTTCCCACTTGGATATTTAAAGTGACCTTAAGTACTTGTCTTTCGGCACCAAAATTCTTTTTCTCATACTAACTTAACGACTGTGTAGTTTTGTGTAAATCTTGATTATTTCATTTTTTCAAGTTGGTGTGTTTTCGCTCTCACTGATTCAATTCTGAAAATGAATTGGTGACAATTTTTTCCTACGAGACAGTTTCTTGTTGGAAAATTGTACTCGGTAGACTAGAAGTACAGAATAATTTTTCAGACTATTGTTCGCCATAGAACCATTGTCAACTTTATTTTTTAAAATTAAAAAACATGACCGTTTACGAGAAAAGGGCTTTCACAAAACACATTTTTGGACTCCCCTTCCCTTCTAAACTTTTATAACACAGGCTTAGACCCTCTCTAGAGCATGACATACATTGAGCACGGCCCCACGTCCAAAAACTGTAAAAATCAGTGAAATTCAATCAGGGAAACTACTGATCTTCTTTTGTCAATAATTGTGTATACTCCAGGTACCTACCTGCTTTTGGATTTCAATCTCCATTGATGACAGGTGAAAGGTTTTATAATTTTTAAAAAAGAATAACTTTTTTAATGGTGAAATGAGTATTTTATTATGGAATGAGATCAACTCAACTGTACAAGTAGTGTGTTTTTTACTGAAAAAAAAAAACTGTAATAGAGGTCTTTTACATACTATTGTGAGACAAGTTAGGCCACTACGGCTTTTTAAAATACTGCCTGTCAATTAAGGGGTGAAACAAAGACAAAAACAAAAATAACATTTGCGACGGCTTGCTTGAAACAATTGAACTAACATTTTAAAATGTAGCTGGAAAAGGTGATGCAACAGTTCTTTAAGGTACATAAGTTCAAGTTTCCAACTGATCAACATTGTAAAAACAGGGTTTCAAAAATGGTTCATGGATTCAATTTTAGATTTCATATAGAAAGAGCATTGATAAGTATTGCGATAGTTAACATTCGACTAAAGCAACGTCAAGGAGAACTGGCACATTTTATACACTTTTTTAACATACACAGTTTCTGAAATTGACTGGTACACAGAGTAAGAGTTGAGGGACTATGTTCTTTCATGCAGAATAATAAGACCACAAAAAAGCATCAACAAAGTAATTCGTACGTGCTTCCTTCCTAATTTTTTCGAATCACTCATCAAATAATCTAAGTCTGCTAAAATTAAATTATATACACATAGCTTGGCTCTCTTCCCTGTATTTCTTCTCCTTCTCAATAGGGAAGCGTGATAGGTATCTGAGGCATCATAAAAGAATGTCTTTCACTTGGAATACCAAGAAAGTCAGCACTGACTAAATTACAATATTTTTTGATATGATGTTCCTTACGTCCTGGGCTTGATGAGCTTTCAAAATCGAACTTTTCATGTGCCAATCTAAGGAAAAGCGGAGCTGAAAAGTGGCTTTTCGGCCCTCTTAAATGTGGCAACATTTCGTCTAGTTAAGGGTGTGTACGGATGCCAGTGCATTCACCTTTAAGCACAGCTTTCTGTCAAGATTGGCACATCGAAAGTTTCATTTGAAAAGCGTATTGTGATTAGAAGGCCGTAAGGAACAACGAACAACATTCAGCTGGTGCTGAATTTCTCTTTAATCCGTGCATAGTCCTTTGATGAATGAGTGTTCCATTTTGGTGTGTGACTTGTAAGTTCGTTGTTCTGAGTGAAAAAAACTTACTGCTACAATACTGGTGAATGAACTATTATTGAACATAGACACGGACATTGCACCCTTCTATTAGGAGCCGATTTTGGCAAATTCTGTTGTGTTCCATGCTTCCTACGATGAGGTATTGATGCGGGTATATACTATTAAAATTAAAGAAAAAAAATAAAAATTTTGAAAAGCCTAATGTTTTGGTGAGAGTTGATTTGGATTTGTTACTCAAAAGCCATCAGCCCGCGGGCCTGTAAGGTTCAACTGTCAACACCCGCATCAATACCTCAGACTGACGCTCCAATTAGAACATCTGTCAAATACCAATACATATACAGCAGAGTAATTAATTTGCACGACCTATGATCTGACTACTTGCCATTTCATTCATTTCAACATTTTTAAATTGGTAAGTAGGTGATGTTGAAACTTCAGTTTTTTAGTCTCCTTAGTGGAATGAGAAAGTTATGTGACCACTTCTTTCTATTGACTGATCACTTAAAAGTAGAATTACAGAAATTTTTTTACATACTTATACAAATTTGAAACATTGTGCTCTTGAACATGGTGAAAAACTATGATTTATCTTTCCCGCTCTTTTCTTGTTCGTCTCCCTCGGTTCCCTCTGACTTTTCTGAATCATCTGATTCTTCTGAATCTTCCGATTCTGAGTCATCTGAACTCCCAGAATCTGATGATGAGTCTGAGGTATGCAACTCACCTTGACTTCTTAACATTTGCTTGTACTGTTTCACGGTAATTTTCTTTGGTAGGATTTCTGTCAGGAAAAGAAAGAAAGAAAATTAATTATATTGTGCAGGAAACCTTACCTCATCATAACATAATTTTCCTAGGAATTCTTAAGTTGATTACCTAAGGGTTTATCTCAAAAGTAAGGATAAAATCAATATCATTTAAAGCGATTAAACTTTTATCACTACACAATTTTATCCTCATATATTGTTATATACTTCAGCTATTTTGTTTCTTTAAATTCATTCTCAAATTTTTTCTTGCCCATAGAATTGCCCCAAGGCCAAACCAGGCTAACATTTTACTCATAAATAGCATTTTGACTTTGAAACTCTTAAAACCAAACCTCTCATTTGCAGTGTCTTTAAAAACTCTGCTTCTATTTTATTCTTTGCAAAGGTGAATAAGTCAACATCATTCTAAGAAATTTTCGCAGAACTTTCTTCAAATGGAGACAAAAAATCACGGCAGCTTTGAAGAGTTAATGATGAGTAGTTTTTTATTAAAAAAATAAACAATAACAGGAGGTCTGTAACGTTGCAACCCGAGGTACAAGATTTGGTAGTTTCACCATCAAATGGGGCACATACAGTGTCTTTCGTTTTTTTATTTAAATTTTGTATCCTTTGGCAATTCTCGACTGTTGGTAGTTAATTTGTTGCTCCTCATATTGTTAACTTTCTTCTACATATTTTCTAATGTCTAATTGATCTGTCAAAATTTTATGTATTTAAGAGGAATGAAAAAAGAAAAAAAGTTCTTCTTTGTCAGTCTTTAACAATAACTTTAATTCCTTCTTGCGTATGATAGGTCATTTGTAATGACCTGACTGGTTGCTATGAAAGTTTGCAGGGAGGATAGGCAAGGTAGGAAACCAGTAGGATAAGAGAAATAAATTACAAAGCAGATTTAAGTCTCTTCTCCTTCAACTTATAACTCAAAATGACTAGTCATTTCTGCGACAGAAAATTCATTTTAAAAATCTGATTTGAGTTACACCTGATTATCAGTACATTTGTAAAAATATAAATTCAATATTCATACAAACCTCTTAAAAACCTCATACTGTTTTTATTCTGGACAAACTCAGCTAATTGTTTGTATTCTAGCTTATTACCATCTGGCGACTTCTTGTAAGACATTCTAGTCAGGTACTGCACGAACAATTCCTGCAATCAGTAATGCTAAATTAAAACAAGATTTTCAACAGCATTCACACATTTTAAATTAAATACAGCTTGCTGATTCTTGGTTTCAGCCTGCGATTCACAGCTGCTTTCTGGAAATTCTTTCCAACATTTAGCACAAAACTCATCATCAGTGCCTTGGATGGACTATCATGATGAGTAAAAAGTGCTAGCCTGATGTAAGAGGGCTTCACCAAACAGGAACATTAAAGTAGATAAGAAATGCTTGTATTTTTTAATGCTTACTGGAAGGAAATTAGGTCTAACTATTGATAAATTAGCAAATTAACATGTTACATCAGAGACTTATGGTCCTCTGTTGGTAAGTGACTACTGGTTTTCAGTTAGACTGAAAGCTTACACTAACAACTTCAAGTTACATCCCATAAAAGGTAAGTTAGTTAAATCAGAATAAAAGTTTCTCATATGCTATCCTTCTTCAATAAAAAACTTCAGGAATATACTGCAAAAAGCAATTGGATAACTGCTGTACACTGCCTGTGAGGTGACCGCAGTGATGCCATAATTTTCAAGCTGAAGAAAGGAAGGCCGAAGTCTCTTGCTTCAACGGCTGCTACATGAACAAGATACACCTTTGCTCACTGCTAGTGTAAGTTTCCTTGTGCTAATTGACCAATCCACTGGTAGTGCTCCATAGAGTATATAGAGTTGTGATGTAAATGGGTGAGCTGGCGCCATATTCTGCTCGACGAGTTCCCAGCCCGGTGTGCGCCAAGCTCGGGTCACTTTTTCGATACATGTTTGATTCAAAATGGCGGTGTGGAATACGCGGTAATTCATTTCTTCTTTGTTTACATCGGATGGCCGGGTACCCGTGTATCGCAAACAATCAATTATGTATCAAAAATGTGACCCGGCGTCACTCAGGAGTCTCGGAATTCGGGATCTAGAAAATGCTACTGCAAGTGGCGCCAGCTCTCTCACTTACATTGCGACTTTATGTACTCTATGTGGTGCTCTAATGGCTGCCATTTGAGAACATCTCAGATGAGTCTTTTCTTGTCATTATTGTTGCTTGGTGAGTTAGGTTTAACCAACAGTGGACAGGGCCTAGGAATCTTTTGTGCAGATCCGGTCACTGATTGGAGTTATCCACCAGCAGTGACTCTGTCCTTTGGATGTCAACACCAACCAATCCGTTAAAGAACGCAGTTTATTGATCAGTGGTACTGTCGTTCAATGAAAAAACCCCTCATTACGCACCTTACATAATGTAAGGGCTTCATCACGTTACAATACAATTCGTGACATTTTATTTGTTATGAATTGGTAACGTGTCATGAGGTAAGGTAAATACCAAACTTCAAACTCACAACCATGATTCACGTATGTGATTGAAGGCTTACCGTGGATTTTGTGACCAAATGAAGAGCGTCTTGTCCAACGTTTTCGACATCCGGCGAACTTTTCATTATCGTTTTTACTCTTGACACGGGCAAGAGTAGCTCCTTTACTTTCGTTGCAGAATTTGGCGCCATTATCAGAACACTTAAACTATTACTACGAAGGCAACAACGAACTATTAGTGACTACAACTAAAACAATAATACTAGAAAACAACAATGATTATCTCATTGATAGCGGTAAGCCAGGTAAGCGCTTTTGAGGTTAGAAGTCTTCGCGGTAATAAACAAGAAAAGCGAGTGCGAGTAGTGTTGTTGATTGTTGAGTGGTCACTGGTCAACAACTCCGATAGCGCCTTCCTTTTCAGAGCATACAATATAAGTTATCATGAAGCAGCTATGGTTGCATCAATGCCAGGCTGCGTTCATTTGGTCGTTTGTCGCATCGGTCCAGCGTCAAAATTGTGTTTTAAAGATGCAAGAACTGTTAAATTACGGTGAACCTTATTCAGCTTGAAAACCTTAACAGCAATAGGACAACTTATTTTTTTTTTCTTTTCTTCTTTTTTTTTAGGTGAAAAATAAAATCATAAATTTCTCCCAAGGGTTTTCCATGGGCCTTTCTCTGACGCCCCTTTCTCCCTATATGTAAGATCCTCTTTCTCCTCCCTCTTCAAAGGAGTCTATCGGGTAGCTCTAACCCCCCCCNAGATTTCCTGTCGTCATTATAGTTGGTCCTTAAGATGAATGAAAAATACACATTGACATTGCAGGACTTTTCAAATCCCACAGAGAAAAAAAGGAGGTGTTTGCATCTTGAGGATTGTTTACTCCGTGACGTTGGTCGGTACAATCTGGCCAGCAAAATCCAGAATTCGAGGTATGAAAAACGGATCATAACGTCTGATTTTTTTGCTTCAATCAACTCATGATATGATTTCAAACACTTTATGAAAAATGACTTTCTTCCATAAACTACACAATTTCTAAGAAAATCGATGATAAAAGTCGTCCGTACCGACATACGTCATCAAAAAAATCCAAGATGCCCGAGATGCAAACACCTCCTTTTTTTCTCTATACTCACATCCTATGTAAGTCTTTTTATAATTGAGGAATTTACTAGGGTTTAATTTATTTACTTAAATAATACTTACTTACTAATAGTGCTTATATACTAATAGTGCATTAATTATGGATCACATTTTGCATTAAGCAACCCTTTTTGGTGAGGTGGAACAAAAGGGAAGGAGCCCCCCCCCCCCCCCCCCCCCCCCCNCCCCCCCCCCCGATAATAGTTTAGGTCCCCCTAAAAATGAGAGGGATTTTGCTTAGGATGCGTGACACATCTTCAATTTTTTAAATTCAATTTCACTCTATTTTTCGATAGAAACAGCTGAAAATTGCCATCGAGACAACAAAATATTTTAAATAAATTTTAAGCTTTAGGTGTCTAAGTAGGGTCAAATTGACTCGAGGCTTGCTAAAAACACGTGCCCAGAGGGTTGTGTGGGGCCGGCACATATGAACTTTCAACAGGGGTCTACGAATTCATTGTAAAAAAAGAATCAGACATCAAATTGAAAAAAAAAGAAGCAAATAATCGAGTATCAACACTACCGAAGATAGGAGAGACGTATTTGAGCCTCCTTTATAACTTTTCTCCCGAATCTAAGCGTTTCCTCATTGGCAGCATAAAGCGTGGCATTAGCATTGCGAGTTCACGCCTCACGTTATCGCATTGCGCCTTCAATTCTGCAGATGCAACAAGGAGGTCCATCATGCACGAATACTTGTACCTCTGCGCCATCATAGACGAGCGTCCTTTTCCTTGCTCTATTTCCATATTGAATTGGTTCCGTTTGTTTTATCTGTAATGGTGCTTTGAGTAAAACTGCCGCAGAATCGTATTCGAGCCTCGTTTTTTAACTTTTTCACCGAATCTGAGCGACACCTCATTGGCAGCCTAGAGCGGAGCATTGTGAGTTCACGCCTCGCACCATCGCGCCTTCAATTTTGCAGATGCAACACGGCCGTCCATCAAGTACGAATAGTTGTATCTCTGCACCGTCATCAACGCGCGTCCGTTCCTTCGCTCTATTTCCATATTGAATTGGTTCCGTTCGTTTTATTTGCAATTGTGTTTTAAAGGACACGTGAGCAACATAACCGAAGATAGAGAGACGTAACTAAGCTTCGTTTTTAACTTTTCTCTCGAATCTTGCGACACCTTATTGGCACTTCGGCAGCATATGAGGACTCACGCCATCGCGATTTCAGCGGGCGGTTGCAATGGACAAAAACCTTTACTTACAAGAGACCTTACAGTTATTCCATCATTTCCCCCAATCACTCCACTAGTCTATAACAACCATCTGTTTCAATCAATTGGATCTCAGATGCGTCTACGTTATACGTCGTTGTTGCGTCTACTGATTTCAATAATCAGCCCGCTGCCTCTAAATGCCCGAATGACTTCCGATAAGATACTCATTTCTGAGGAAAGTTAAGAATATAATTGTTTGTTGATTTTTTAAAGTATTTCACACTCAATTCTATTAAATCAAAGAAAATGATGCATTAAATTGATTTGCGAGAAAATTCGATTTTTGGCAAGAAAAATTTGAGAATGCGTGAACACTTTCACTGCGTTCTTCCCAGGGCTGGATTTACATTTTTAGCGCCCTAGGCTAAACTTAGGGTGGCGCCCTCAAAGTAGGCGCTCTCGTGGGGGGGGGGGGTCCCGCAGGAGCCCTTCCCCTCCAGACCAGAAGGAGGATGTTAGGTGTCAGGAAAATGTTCAAATTCACCTTTCAAAAAACATGATTTTCAACAGTTCTGAGGTACGTTCAGGTTTGCAAGTTGGTTTTGGAAAATGAAAAGCAAAAAAAATCTCGTTAAAATAAAATAAAAAAAAAAAAATTCTCAAAGATTTTGCGCCCTTCAGAATGTTGCAAACCGCGTTGCAATATGTTAAATGTTCCAATATCACGACGAAATTTCCCGTGATTTCAATTGAAATCATTTTATTAAAAAATTATTTTAAATTTTTTCAGAGAATCTGTGCGTATCTTCAAAAAATTATCGATTGAAATTGAAGCATTAACTGTCGTTTGCAACGTTCCAATCAAGGTAAATAACCTCCTTTTCGCGTGGAACCATCGATATTTGAGTTCGTTTACGGTAGGCGTGACATACAACTATTTGACCACGGGTGTAAGCATGTTGCAGCTCCGCCGGATTGAAGGCGCGTCAGATTGCGAAGATGTTTTGACCGGCCTGCCGACCCTCGCTGGCGGGACGAACGCTAAAATCGCTGCGACACTTAGACGATGCTTCATTATTTATGACTCCCCTCATATTTTCAGCATACAAAACAAAAATAACTATCGTGTTAGCTACGATTTAGAATCAGGGACCATGGTTTTTTCGGTAAAAACAAAAAAAAAGGAAAATAGGACTAAATATAATATCGCGTTGAAATTTCCCGTGATTTAAATGAAAATCGTTCGTAAAAGTATTGTAAATTTTTTCAGAGAATCTGTGCGTGCCCTTTAATAAATATTAATTGAAATTGAAGCATTAACTGTCATTTGCAACGTTCCAATCAAGATAAATAAGCTCCTATTCGCGTGGAACCATCGATATTTGAGTTCGTTTACGGCAGGCGTGACATACAACTATTTGACCACGGGTGTAAGCATGTTGCAGCTCCGCCGGATTGAAGGCGCGTCAGATTGCGAAGATGTTTTGACCGGCCTGCCGACCCTCGCTGGCGGGACGAACGCTAAAATCGCTGCGACACTTACTTAGACGATGCTTCATTATTTATGACTCCCCTCACATTTTTGGCATATAAAACAAAAATAACCATCCTATTAGCTACGATCAGGGATCCAGGGACTTAGAATCAGGGACCATGGTTTTTTTCGGTAAAAAAAAAGAAAAAGAAAATGGGACTAAATATAATATCGCGACGAAATTTCCCGTGATTTCAATGAAAATCGTTCGTAAAAATATTGTAAATTTTTCAGAGAATCTGTGCGTGTCCTTAATAAATATTGATAGAAATTCAAACATTAACTGTCGTTTGCAACGTTGCAATCGAGGTCAATAAGCTCCTTTTCGGGTGGAACTATCGATATTCGAGTTCGTTTACGGCAGGCGTGACATACAACTATGCGATGCGTCATTATTCATGCTTCTTTGCCTGTTTACTGAATATGGTATTGATTTTTTTATGAAATCTCAGGACAAATCGGTGGAATTTTCAGATAAGGATGCCCAAGATTCTGTGGGTTATTACTTCTTCCGCAGCATTGCAGAATTCACTCGAATCCTTTTGCGACTTTTAGCACAGAGAAACGTGGACATAGTAGCATGTCGTTGAGTAAATTCCAGATTTTTCATTGCAACTCATTTACGCTCAAGTAAACACTTAAATCACGGCGTTTTTCTTTAACACGGCAGAATTAACGCGATTTTTCCCGCGAAACGGCACCGAGAAACGTGTGGACATAGGAGTATGTTGTTGATTAAAGTCCTGATTCATTATTACAACTCATTCATGCTCAGTGCATTTATATCGCTGCGACAACTGTCGAGATACGTGATTTATCAGTTTTCTCAATATTAGATACGAAGTTCCGGAAGGAGTATGAATTATTTCTCTTTTAAAAATGTAGAGGGCACATTAAATATTTTGCAACGTGGCGACGGAAATAAATATCACCTATGAACTCTCACTAGCGATAAAGCAAGATTATTTAGTACTTTACATAATACTTAGCTTGCTTCAAATTAGTAACAATTTGAGTGTCGGGGAAGAGAAAAGTTTAAAGACGAGCTCGGCGAGGGGAGGGGGGATCAGTGGCGTGGCGTGCTTTGCGATGTATCGATTGTTCTGCCATTTAAAGCTATGGTAAAGAATCGATTATTAAGGTGTTTGCTGTGAACACCCTGATTATTGATCCTTTTCCATAGGTTTAAATGGCATAACAATCGATATATCGCAAAGCACGCCACGCCACTGGGGAGGGGGGGGGGTCGTTACGGGTGAGTACGAAAGATATACTTACTAAGTAACAATGAGATAATACATTCCTCTGAAAAAATGACCACTTGGCACTGTTTAATCTGTTCGTCTTCACACTGCACTGATTTTTTAATTGATTGATGAATATGACCGGGGAAAATGGCATATATCCACTGAGGCAAAATTTCCAATTCCATAATTGTCATGAAGTTTGGTCAAAATGTTGGAGTCTGAGATTCGTACGGAACTTTCTCTTTGGGGTCCAAAAATTATCTTGAGGCTATTCAGTTTATTCTTATGCAAACAGTGGGCATGATGGCGATCGAAGTGCAAAACCGCACATATCTCCATTTTGATGTTTCAAAATTTCTACTCCTATCTTATTTTTTTGAGGAGGAAGTATAGCCAAATTCATAGCTTCAAAATTACTCGGAATATTTTGCCAACAGAGTAGAAAAATCGGAAAAAGAAGTTATGACGAAATTATGTTAAAATAGTTTCGCATAGAAAAAATGAAGTTTGGCAGGAAGTCTGCAACGTCGCAAACGGAATACTCAATTGAAGTGAATCTTGAATTAATGACTTGATATGATATGAATGATATTTAAATGATAAGACTGTAATTATTTGTAAAATTATGTATTCCCGAGATACAAAAAAAAAAAAAAAAAAAAAAAAAAAAAAAAAAAAATGATGCAATGATGCAATCGGTGCAATGACCGATCTTAATAGTTTAAAAAACTAAATATGCAGGCTAATTGTAAGGAGAACTGAGTTTTTCTAACAATAAGACGGGAGAATCAAGCATTGTGGCTGCAGGCGATACTCCGTGTTACTATGTGTGTGGGACGCCAAATATTTTGGACAGATAATGACGCTATATGAGTGAACAAATGGTTGATTCCTGTAGCAAAGGGGAGTATACTGACGCAGTCACTGATCAAGTGTTGAGAAGATCACTGCCACGATGGATTTCGCGGGTGTTTCATTGTTTCTTAGTTTATATTTCTACCACGTGAGTACAATTTTTAAACATTTCCCTGCTAAAAATGACAAGTAGGCTATTCAGAATTCGCCAACTCACATGAGTAGAACCTCCTACTTATATGAGTAGAAATCCTACTCATATGAGAAGAAATTCTACTCTGATCATCAGAATATTCTACTCATAAGAGTAGAAAAAATCAACTCATATGAATTCAATTTTTTTCATTTTTCAGAAGTGTGTTTTTGCCCAGGAGACACCGACATTTATAAATTTGAAAAATAAAAACATTTTGTTCTTATGATTTTTTTGATGCGGTGACTAGTTTCTGAGATATCGGACACGGTAGATTCAACGCTGAACTCATGTGCGTGAGTTGAAATCTCTAGTCATATGAGTTGGAATTTCTAATCATATAAGTTGGTGAAAACTGAATAGAAGAATTCTGCTCATATGAGTTAAATTATATTCTTATAAGTTGAAATTCTAATCATATGAGTTGAAATTCTATTCACAAGACTTTCATTTTCTACTCATTTGTACTCACCATTTTTAGCAGGGCGGTTTTAAAACTTAAACATTTTTATTGATTCAGTTACTAAAACCATTTCCATAAGTACGAATAATATCGATCATTATCCGCACATAATTACCTAACTCAATAATTCTTGTAGACTACCTATTTATTCATATTGTCTCAATAATTGGTTTGAGAATGCCAATTTTTTCTCTACGTGATTCAGTTTGCCCGTCGACCTCTCAAATTACCGACATATTGCATACTAACCGCCGTCGTCGACGGTTCTTTGAATTGGCTGCCGCACTGAGAGAAACAGCCGAATGTGCATTCGAATGGTACCAAAACCCGTCCCAATAAAATAATATTTTTTAGTCATAAACAGGGGCGGACTGGCACTTGAACGGTTAGGCTGCGGATTTCATTTTGGGGCCCCCTACGCATTGAGTTCTCACGGGAGGGGGGTCTAGTAGGCGCAGTCCTCTAGCAAGAGGGGAGGTCCGCCCCCCCCCCCCTGGATTCTAGGTATTGACCCTTCTAGACGCAATTTTAGGCGCGTTTTGGCTCAAAGTCTGACATGAAATTTTTACCTTAAATTATCAGAAATATTTGATTATATTTCAATTCTGAAAAATATCTGAGACTTTCAAATCCAAACTACAGAAATTGATAAAAAAAAGTTGTATTTTAGCGAGAATAGCAAATTCCGAACGCTCACGTGGTATTTTTCATCAACTGAGCAGCACCAGCGGCGAGGCATTATCGATTATCGATTTTTCTCCATTTGACGCTATGGTAAAGAATCGACTGTTAATGTGTTCGATGCGAACATCCTGTCTATCGATCCTTCCCCATTGGTTCAAATGGCAGATCAATCGATAAATTGCAAACCACGCCACGCCACTGAGCGGTACAAACTCAGATTGTGGTAAATAAATTTACCACAAACAAGTGTCAAAATTACAAAAATTTAGTAGGGTTGAATTGTTTGACCAAAATACTGCCATTTCATTCCCTGCGGAAATTTGCTACAATGTACCTCAAATACTAAGAAAAGTGTGATAATCTGATTTCAGGTGGTAAGAATAGGCGGTGAAAATACTACCGCGAACACTTTGGAGGCAACCTGCTCAGGTACACCGGCACCAGATGCTTATCTGGTAAGATGAATTTTAATGCTTGTCAGCTAAAAACGACCATGTTGGTGGATGATTGTTATTAGGGCCAGATTTACCTACTTGCTGCCCATGGGCCGTCTGTATTTTTCCGCCCCCTTCTCATTCGTGTTGAAACATCAAAAGATCGTATTCGACAGTGGTTCGATGTACCGTTTGGTTCCAAACAATAGAAAATAACCTCAAACAAAAATTTTAGGATTTAATTTGGAAAAGCTGAAAATGATAAAATTCCTAACAATTCCACTTTTCATTACCATTTGGTACTCGAGAGAATAAAAATTCGATCACATAAGACCCGTTATCTCAGATTTCTAAATTGACTTTTGAGGCTGTGGTTACATATTGAACCAATCGACATCAATATAATCTCACCTGTGTGATCTGTCGAATACGATCTATATAAAAACCATCAAGTAAACGTGCCGGAGGGGGAGGAGTGTATGAGACGAGTTTACTCGTGTTGGGCACATTTTTTTGTGAAAGCCCTGTCAATACTAACAAAAGATCAGTTCCGTAAACCCATCCCTGTTTGGACAAGGCCTTCCATTTATAAAAAACGAACGAAAAAATTATGAAAGAACAAACATAAATGTGGTTAATAATTTTAACTTCCGCCGCTGCGCCGACCGCACTGTGTTGGCGCAATGCGTGAAGTATTCATGCAGTCGTGTAGGTGCTATGCGTTTCAAGCTGACTGCTGCTGACCGCAGTGTGTTTGACGCAATGCGTGAAGTTTTCATGCAGTCTTGTAGGCACTATGCGTTTCATGCCGACCGCCGCGCCGCTCCGTTCCAGGTCAAATTGCGTGATTGGTTTCTCTCTTAACTCGACTAATTAAGGGTGTTGTCTCTTATATCACCGAAAGACGACAAAATTAGAACTTCCTCTTTTTACTCTCAGTAAAATGAGAGATTTTGTTGCCTTTTCTCGTTTGAAATTTATTTTCTGAATCCGATTTTTTTCTCTCTTTTTTTGATACCTACATTCAAAAAGATTGCAAATTTGCCGCCCCCTACATTTTGCCGTCATGGGCCGCGGCCCATTTGGCCACCCCCTGAATTAGGGAGAACAAAGAGCCCCATGTCAAAAAATTAAATAGAGAGAGAGTAAAAAATGTTTACTGAAGTTTTTGCCTTATTGCTGATAGCCTATTTCCCTCACGTGATCAGACCGAACGGTTTGGTCTAGTTTTAAGCTGGACTGGTCAACTTTCTCCATAATTGTTTTGTTTTACGAGACTATACAATATCTGCTCTAGAGGGTTATTTACAAAACGCTTCTTGATAGCGCTGGTATTTGTAAATAACTTCTCAGCTCGGATTCCTGTCTTGTCTTGTCTCCAAAACCCTTCGCAATTACTGCATTTTTAATAATTGGTCGCGCAAAACAGACACCTCTTCATTCGTAAAAACGGGTTCCACAATTCGACGGCCGAAGTGCGGAACCACGTACCTACATTGCGGTGTTTCAAAATTTCCGTTCTTTTTTTATTTTTTCGAGGAGCAAACAACCCAAATTTATAGCTTAAAATTTTTACAGAATATTCTGCAAATCTAGAAGAAAAATCAAATACTTTTTCAAGAAATATACAATGTCTAGTTCAGTGGCGTTGAGTACTGTGAGATATATCGATTGATCTATCATTTAAACCTATGGCATGGGATCGATAAACAGGGTGTTCGCGATGAACACCTTAACAGTTGATTCTTCACCGTAGCTTCAAATGGAGAAATATCGATGGTCGATAATTATCGCCTCGCCATTGGCTTTTAATACCTAAATGAGGGGCTTTTGGAGGACAAGGTGCATAAGTGCAGTTTTTGAAAAAAATTGAGATATTGATGATTTCAAGTAAAAATAGTCTTAATGCATAATCTGTGAAAAGTTCGCTCCCAAACTCCAATTTTCAAGCATCAAAAAGTCAATCCGAACTTTCTTTCCGCCTTAAAGATCCATTTAATCTCGAAACTTCAAACACGTATTTCTCGAGTTAGTAAAAACCGCACTTCTGCGCATTGTCCTTCAAGCCCCTCAACTGGCCTCTAATGGAGTCTCATTGACCCAGAATAAAAAATATGATGTAATATAAAATTAAATTCCTGTTATATTTTAATATCTTATTTGTTAATTTTCTAGTTACGGTCATGGAACTTCAAGAAAATATTTAATGGCAAAGGACAGTGTATGCCAATTCAGCTTTCCCTCGAATATGGTTTCAGCCCTGGTTCAAAATTACTGATAGAAGGAGCTACACTCGAGGGCAACTGGTAACGATGACTCATTTGTTTTCCTTTTATTAGTACTGCTACATTGAATCGGAAAGAGCGCGCGTGGAGTGATTTTCAAAGTTAAACGTACCTAAGCCTTGAATCGTCTCTACGAATGCGGTATGTGTGAGAACATTTGGACTTCATTTTGCAAGTAGGAATTGTAATTTCTGGTTCATCCGAAAAAACACATCTGTGCGTAAGGAAACTAATGGCACGTACGTTGTTTTTAAACTGAGCCTGAATTTACAGTTCCTAATTGCAAAATATAGTCCATTTGTCGCGACTCCTCCATTTTTTGGTTACCTGCTACTAAAAAACTACATGGGAGTGTGTGACCTAGGCAGGCGAAATGTACTTTCAGGCGGAGTGGGGAAGGAGACACGAGATAACTATGCTTTTGCGCTATGGAAGAACGCCGTATAAACCTTCAAGCGTTGCCACATTTCCATTGATAAAACGCGAATTTCCTGGTGAACCTTAGAATATTTTTCTTGATTTCGGATCATCTTTTCGCAATTTTATTTAAAGTTCCTGAAAATTCCAACAAAACATATTCTTAACTTTCCTCAAAAACAAACATTTTATCGGATGAATTTGGCAACTCTCGAATTTTCATACAGCGTTTCCCCTCAGCACGGCAGTATACCACAGCTTAGAGGAGTTGATAATGGATCGCGTATAGCTTATAAACACTAAAAATTCCGAGAAGTTTGTCTTTTGCATCAATTTAAAAGGTATTTTAACGTATAAGTATGTGAGGTTTGGCGGCTAAGGAAACGGACTTGGGATATGCTAAGAGCAACGGAGATGGATTCCTGGCGGAGGTCGGCAGGAATTTCCAGGAGAGATCGGGTCTGTGATGAAAGAGAGCATCAGATCATGGGAGTCGAAAATGACATCGCATTCGACGTCATGACCAAACAGCTTGTCTGGCACGGTCATGTTAACAGGATGACAGAGGAGAGCCTGCCGAAGGAGATACTTGATTGGGTTCCTCCTGGGAGGATACGAAGGGGACGCCCAGTGAAAGGGTGGCCGACCCTTATGAATGAAATGAGAGAGTGTCATTTCCCTGACGGGTTGTGGCAGGACCGAGTTTTGTGGNTAAGTTTCCTCAAAAACAAACATTTTATCGGAAAAATTTGGCAACTCTCGAATTTTCATACAGCGTTTCCCCTCAGCACGGCAGTATACCACAGCTTAGAGGAGTTGATAATGGATCGCGTATAGCTTATTAACACTAAAAATTCCGAGAAGTTTGTCTTTTGCATCAATTTAAAAGGTATTTTAACGTATAAGTATGTGAGGTTTGGCGGCTAAGGAAACGGACTTGGGATATGCTAAGAGCAACGGAGATGGATTCCTGGCGGAGGTCGGCAGGAATTTCCAGGAGAGATCGGGTCTGTGCTCTGTGATGAAAGAGAGCATCAGATCATGGGAGTCGAAAATGACATCGCATTCGACGTCATGACCAAACAGCTTGTCTGGCACGGTCATGTTAACAGGATGACAGAGGAGAGCCTGCCAAAGGAGATACTTGATTGGGTTCCTCCTGGGAAGATACGAAGGGGACGCCCAGTGAAAGGGTGGCCGACCCTTTTGAATGAAATGAGAGAGTGTCATTTCCCTGACGGGTTGTGGCAGGACCGAGTTTTGTGGCGGTTAGGCGTGGCAGAGCACCAGCGAACGCTGTGAAAGTGACTCTTATTATATGGATTACATTTTGCAAAGGAACCACTTATGCATACATTCTTGTGGGTCTCAGCGATCATGCCTTATTGCACATAGTTCTGTTTGACAGAAATACGTTCAATTGGTCGTATTTATGCTATAGGCAACTATGTGCATATGCTTTGCATGTGACATAGTTCCTTTTAGCATAAATACGTCGAATTTTTCTCTCTCATTGCAGGTTTTCCATAGAATTGAAATCCGTCTTATTAGGAGATATACCTCTGCATTTATCCGGACGACCGTATGAGGAGAAATTTATAAAAAATAGCAAGACAAATTCGAGTTCGTGGGGGGTGGAAGAATTTGAAGAGAACTGGCCATTTTATTGCGGAAAGAAATTCACTTTATCCATTGAATGCCTAAAAGAATCATATAAGGTAAATATTTTATTTAATTATTTTTCATATGAATAAAGGCTAAAGTATGCTGTTTTATACGTGTGATACACTCGTTTCTTGAAAATTTTTATCTTGTAATAATTGCCACATGCGACTCTAGAACTATAAAAACTCGTTAGCGGTGTTTCAAAATCTCCGTTCCCATTTTGTTTTATCAAAGGAGAACAAATCAACACCACTGGTTGAAATATCACAGATAGCTAGGAGCCAGAAATTTGGCAACATCGGATTTCCTCCATTTAAACCTATGCTAAATAATAGATTCTTGTTGGAACACTTGGCCCCTCCAAAAATGGATACATTTTCATAGGTTTAAATGGATTTCATCTTGCAAAAAGGAACCAAGAGCATTCCAATGTTGCCAGGATTGTGCAACTTACATTCTTTGCAATGAAATTATTGGAATCACGCAAGAAATTAAATTTAAAAGGGTCATTTTTGTCTTGAATTTATAGTTTATTGAAATTAAAGATCAAACTTGTTTGAATGAGATTGTTTATAATTGCAAGGTAAAAAAATGTGCACAATCCTAGCGACATTGGAATGCTCTTGGTTCCTTTTTGCAAAATGCAATCCAAATGCAGAAAAGACAATGTTGCCTATTTGCTGGATCCGCCAATGCAGAATGGAGTGGAAGAGATACGAAGAGACGCCCCATGAACATGTTGACAGATAATAGACTACTGGGCCGCCACTCTGCAAACGAATCCAAATTCCTTCATCTTGCTGGGTATGCACTTTGATCTCCGGGGTGTTAATATAGTTGCTCGAAGTCGAGGAAAGCTGCAGTGATGAGGTGCGATAATCGACTATGGATATTATCCTATTTGAAGCTACGGTAAAGAATCGATTATGGTGTTCGTTGCGAACGCCCTGCTAATCGATCTTTTTTCATGGGTTTAAATGACAAATCAATCGATACATCGGAACACCACTGGAAATCTGCCGGCAACAATGTAAGGCGCGACTTCGGAATCCACGCATTAGTAGTATCGCGGCGAAGTTTTTCTTCAATTCATATGATTTTTTAAAAAATAAACTTCACAGAATTTTAAGTCCGAAGACATTTAAATCCTCGACAGTATGAAGGCGTTTTAAAATACTTACGCATCGAGGAAGAAATGGATTCATCTTGCGGCGGAAAATCGTCTCCCCAGCAGTTTTTCGTGGAACAACGAAAAGTTTGTGATACGTCAAGGGATTTAAGTTTTTAGAACGCCAGGCTTGTTGTTACAGTGCAATATTCTCGTTTTGGAAAACAGGAAAATTTCGATATGGCAAGGATTTTGTGGTTTCGTCTAAAAATTCACAGGGCGGAACACGCCCCATCCTCGACAAAAAAAGGTTTTTCTCAGTAAAACAGTGGCGTGGCGTACTTCGTAATATATCGATATTTCCCTCATTTGAAGCTATAGTAAAGTATCGATTCTATATTGTTCGTTGCGAACACCCTGTTTATCGATCCTTTTCCATAGGTTTGGATGGTAGAACAATCGATATATCGCAAAGCATGCCACGCCACTGCAGTAAAATGAATGACCACCAAAGATTTAGTTTTCATAGTCATGATCAATCAAATTTCTGAAAAAAGGCCTGAAGATTGGACGCCTTAAAGCTGAATGAATGCATCGAAGTGTTGACAAATAAACTGCTGCAATAATATAACTTCTTTAAAAACTTGCTTTTGTGCAAATTAATTCGTTCCATTCAATGAAGTCAAATCCTCCATCCTCCTATCCTCTATTTACTTCTATTTTGAGGCACTAAAAGTAATATTACTTAAGGTAATATAGGCACACAAGTTGCAAAGTGCATCTAAATCATTGAGGCAAAGTTGCTATGTAATGCAATAAACCTATGCGATATTTCGTCCATAAATGACGATTCCAAAGATAAAAAAGATGAGTTCCATGCTTTAACAAGAAATACAAACAATGCTAGGAGAAATCGCGACTTATTTCAATCATACCTACATAAATTTCAGTACGAGGTGCTCCTTCGATTAGCAGATAGGCAAAATATGCAACATTGCGGTACGGTAGCCGTAGCAATAATTTTATCATTGAGGAGATCGCACAACCTGATGTGCCGTTTGGGAAGAAGACATGGTTATAATCCCGAGAAAACACATTTCATTCGCAAAAAACATACAGGATTTTGTTAGTGTCACAATTACTGCATTGTTTATCTCTTTGCAAATCATAGTTGCCCACTTTGTCTTTTCCAGATGAATGTGAACGGGATCCAGATGCGAGAGTTTGCTCATCGCCTGCCGCACTCTATCATCGACGCGTTGCGCATGAATGGAGCTCTTGTGATTAGTCATGTTCAGTACGCAGTATCAAGCGTGAGTTCTCTACTACACGGTGGCGTGGAGTGCTTTGCGATGTATCGATTGATCTGTCATTTAAACCTATGGAAAAGGATCGATAAATAGGGTGTTCACAGCAAACACCTTAATAATCGATTCCTTACCATAGGTTTAAATGGCATATCAATCGATACATCGCAAGTTACGCCACGCCACTGCTACTGCGTTTTCGATGGTTTTTTCTCTTGGGCCCGGGGAACTTTAAAATCAAAGATGGTGCTTGAATGGCATGGCTTACGAGGTGGGTAACTAATTACGGCCACAAGAAGCTGAGTAGGGGACGGTTGGTCTAAAAAAGAGTAAAAATGTGACTGAAATCAAAGCACCAACGCATTTTCCAAAGACGATCCTTGGAAAATCCAAATTAAGCAGCATATCTTACTAAAATTTACCGAAATTAAAAATTCTCGAGAGGGAAGTGATCAAAAATCACAGAAGTACGGATGAAAATCGTCGAGTTTATGCCCATTTTAATATACATTGATTAAAATTATCTGGAATAACTAATAATTCACTTTTGGCCGTTGAGGCCTTCTAAGTATTACGCAGGTCACTCGGTGGGGGGGTTGGGGGTGGAAAGTCTTTGACAGTCTTGCGGAGTCTTAAAAACATTTTCCCGGCTGTTTGTTGAAAAGAAATTATGAGGAGGAGGTTTCAATCCACGCTAATGTATTCAATAGAGGGGGGAGGGGCAGAGGGTGGCTAACGGGTAGCTTGCGTGGAAGGATGCACGGGGTGAGGAAGTCGGACAAAATGGTTACTCAACGTATACTTGAACGGATCCTCAGGGTGCAACGATCTGGCACTTAGAGTACTACTTTGAGTGCAATTTTTTGATTTTCAGAGTTATCTCCATCGCATGAAAATATAGGTAGGAAAAATACGCGTCCTCAAAAGTTATACGCTCCCGAGGAATGAGCTTGAAATTTTGAGTTGTTTGGACTTTGACAGGTGAATGATCGTTTATACGTTTTCTCTTTTCAGATACACCCTGATATTTTTTGGCCAAACTCTGACAACTCTAATGCAACAACGACGGTACGTCAACTATTCTAGATAGGGGTTTTTGGTGGGTGTCGAACGCATGCACTCTCTCAAAATGTTTCGTCGATTTTATTAGTTCGTGTTGATCTATTTTTTCCCAACAAGTTTTATTGTATCCATTCAAGTTTTGTTGACGTATCAAGACTATTTTCCTTTATAAACGGTTAATGCATTTTTCGGACTATTTTTCTTGATTATTGACGATCAGAGCTGGAATAAGGTCTCGATAGACGATCAAATTCCCGAACCAGTTACCATCAAAGTGTCGGGAGTTATCGGTTTTAAACTCATTAATTTGCTTCATTTTAAAATGAAAACTTGGCATAAATGTTTCCTGTGACAGGAAATGATGAATGGTGGCACTCCATTCTGATCTTACTTTGAACAAAATAGTGCGGCCTGTCAAAATTCGATGGTGGATGGTGACCATCAGTCATCAGCATGTCTACTTTGATCGGAATTGGTTCGGAATTTGATCGTGTATCCAGGGCTATAAAGTTGGTGCGGTTGGTGCATCAGAAGCGGTTGGACCAAGCACAGTCACTGCAAGGGCTCTACTAAAGTGAGATGATAGAAAAGGTGAAGAGGACAAAGAAAAAAGAGACTAGATGCACTTAGAGCTCGAAACTATTCCTACCAAGCACAGTCACTGCAAGGGCTCTACTAAAGTGAGATGATAGAAAAGGTGAAGAGGACAAAGAAAAAAAAGACTAGATGCTTTTAGAGCTCGAAACTATTCCTTCCAAAAATTAAACAAGCTGCTGCTGAAAAGCTCTAATACGTAGGTATTATGGAGAAGCGCTCAGCAGTTCGATCTCTATGGTAACCGTAACGCAACAGCTGTCATTTGGAGACGAATTTGAACAGGTTCAGAAAAAGTCATCACACAAGCAGCATTTCTCACGGAAAAATCGCTATGAAAGGCGATTTTATCGGCGATAAAATCGCCAGGATCATCAACTTCTGAGCGATTATCCTCGATCCTATCGCGATAAAATCGCGCTTTAATCGCCCGACAATTTATCGCGATATTTTCGAAATAAAAATCGCGACAAATGGCGATTTCATCTCGATTTTATCGATGAAAAATGATCACGATTTTATCGAATCGAAAATTGCGATGTGTAGCGATTTAATCGCCATATATACAAATTTTTAATGTGATAATATCTCGATATATTGTCAACGATATAATCGCGATAACCAACCGATGAAATCGCTATTTATTGCGATCACTGCTTATACTTGGGCACCGGTAGCAAAAACTTCAGTTGAAAAGAACTCAATACCTGGACTTTCAGACATAATAATAAAATATAAATATAAACTTCCTAGCAAGGACGATTTTGGGTATGTTATTCATTTCGTCTGCTAATGTATATCGACGGTGAAACTACCTAACTACGTATCTCGGTTTGCGACGTCGCAGACTTCCTGTCATACTTCATTTTTTAAATGAAAAACTACTTAACGTCCGGTCTTGAAAATTTCTGTGATTTTTCCTCTTCGTGCGGAGAAAATTCTGTGAAAATTTCAAGGAATGATATTGATTTGGTCTACTTCAAAAAAATAAAATGCGAGCGTAGATTTTTAAACACCGCAAACGAGATGCGTGGTTTGGTAGTTTCACCGTTGATATTCAATAATGTTAAGGGGGTATTTTTAGCTTGTAAAACGACAAGTCTGAGAATCTCGTACTCGACCATGTTTAGTTGAGTTGGTGAGCCATTCAATCGCTTGAGCGCTCTACTATGGAGGAACTCTAGTGGCAAAAAGAAAACAAGAAGCGCTTACCTATTGGCTGAGCACTTAAAATACAAGAGGAACAATATTATTTTGCTCATTCATTAACTTAATTTTTAACAGCTCATCTTGGTCTTCTTCTGTATTTTCAGCAAATTACGCAGAATCAAACCAATGGGCATGATTCAACGGCATCTCCGACCGATCTTAAGGGTCCTATCTTCAATGCCTTCGACAGAGACAAGGTAACATAAAAGTTAACGTAAATAACTTTCTTCCTGTTTCTGGAGAAGAAAAATAGCTGCATTTATGTCATTTGCTCCCAGCAGATAGGTGTTATGACAAAGGAAATCAAATTTCAGGAATTTTCTCATGGGAAAGGGATCTTTCAAGTTCAAGCATTATTGAGACACTACTCTATAATAAGAAATCGACCATTCGAGCTCTGTTCAGGAACGACTTGTCTGCTCTTACTTGCCTCATGCAGATAAGTGGTTCCAAAATTAGCCATAAGTTCTTCCTGGTGTGGTGCCGTTCATGTAAAGAGTTGGGGGGGGGAGGAGGTTCTGCGTAACTAAGCGTCAAGAGGGGAGCAATGTCGATTTTTTGAGGGTGGTAAAACTGTTTTTAATAAATTTCATAAATAACCGATTTTAGATAAGGTAGATTGCCTCGATGAAGATAGATTGTTCCATACACATTAAAGCGGGAGACCTCTGAAGTCTTCAATTTTTGAGAGTTGGATTTGCGGGGCGATTACAGAATCTTTTAGACAAAGCGATAGACAAAGAAAGCAAATAGAAAATGGAGTGATCTTATCGGTGGAAGCGGGCAGTTGCAATGGATAAAGGAGGTAGTTTTTTTGTTTTGTCTGTTTGGTCCAACGTAGAATAATATATAGTTGAGAGTTTTGGTAAAAATGGCGGAGCGTCAATTCCACGAGACAAAATTCACAAAAACTCTCTACACCTCTTTGGTGAAACAAGACTTAATTATATTTCAAGAAATTCCCACGTTGTTATACCTGAACCGGATAAACCTCTATATTTACCTCAGCTAAAGGCTCTTAGATTTTTCCTGTGTACGATAAGTATCTTGATTTATTTTGCGAGGAAAGATCTGTACTTTTGAAGGATGCCTATCATTCTTAATACGTTCAATTTCGTATAATACTGTGCAACATCTCTGTTGTGACATAGTTGCTTCAGGCGCCGCTGCCGCACGGCGGGCGGGCGGCCAGCGCGAACCTGCATTGGCGCCTATAAACCTAAGTGGATACTTCACGCATTGTGCAATGCGTGAAGTATCCACTTAGGTTTGTAGGCGCCTGTGAGCCTCTCGCGCTCGCAGCACGCCGCCGCTCCGCTCTGTTCGGCTTTAATATTTATACTCGCATAGTCAGCGTTTTTTAACTCATGATTTTGAAATGTTAGCACACTCTGTATTGATTATTCTCATTTAAATTGATGGGGAAAAATATGTTTCAATTTATCAAAGGAGAATAATAATATAATGTATGTTTTTTAAATATTGGTGGTTCCGTGTCAAATTTAATGAAATCCAAAGCACTTTAATTTTTCCTTTTACATTTTGTGCTTTTATTGTGCTGCAGCGAGGTGTACGCGCAACGAAACTTGTTTGACGTATTTGACTCTAAAAGATCAATGATCAATGTAGAAATGCGTTAAAACTAAATATTGCGTGCTTCTTGGTTTTTTTCCTCTTTTATTCATTTTTGCGGTTTCTGTCGGCACAACTGCGGCTCATTGAGATTAATGTCGCTTGGAAAAGATTTTACAAATATTTGTCACGTTTTAAAAATATAAATGTTTTCAAAATAAAGTAATAATTTCGTAAAAAAAAAATAAAAAAATAAAAAAAAATACCTATACATAAATAAGGTATATTGTACATTCAATATTTTAAGGATAGAAATAAAACCAAATATTCACCAATGACAATTTAAAAAGATGATTCAAAAGGAGAGAGTAATAACATTTCATTTAGAAAATGAGCAACCATAACAACACCTCCTTCTCTCTCAATTTCTCATTTCCATATTGTCAATATAATTTTACATACTGACTAAAATAAAACGCTTGGACCAAGTCACCGTTGCTTATTTTACGTGTGGGCGTAAACTACTGGACAAAAAAGGTGCGCGGACAAAAAATCGTTGACAAAATGTCCTGAAACCCTTTATTGTTTCTTTGAAGAACTAGTCAACGTAATTTCTTGAAAATTCCCTTGATTCTTCTTCTTTGTCAGCAAAATATTCTATAACAATCTCAAGCTGTAAAATTGGCTTATTCCTCTTGAAAAAAAGAAAAAAAAGGTTATAGGAGTGGTAATTTTGAAATATCGCAATGGAGATAAGCGTTTTCGCACTTTGCCTATCTTTATGTATCACTATACTTGTATGTTTAGCTTGTCTAACTGCACTTCTTTTTTGTTTGTTTTCGTTTTGTCGCGTAGAATTTAGGTGCCTCTAAGTCAAGAAATGACATAGTGCTCACATCAAGCGATTTTCTCGACATTCAGCGATCATCAGCATTTATCGACAAAACCATGGCGATCGTAGACTTCCTCACAAAGTGGCCCAAATTTCTCGTTCTCACAGCACCAAAGCGATTCGGGAAGACATCTCTGCTTAGTATGTTTCGTTATTTTTTCGGTATCCCCATACATACTGCCACGGGTGGCGAAAACAAGATACTTAAGGCGCAAACTTTAGAAATATTTCAATCTCCGAAGTTAAAAATCTGGCAGAACTTCACGGAGCTCGAACCATTTCTGATGTCGCACGCTGTAGTTACGTTCAATTTCGGCACCATAATGACCAACTCTTATGAGGACTTTTTGTCTTCTATGAAAATGTGCATTTTCAGTGCATATACTGAGCACTCATACCTAACGACGGGTAGCGAATTGTCCAAATTCGAAAAAGAAGAAAACCTTGCAGTTCTTAATAATTTCGGCATAATTGGGAGTCGGGACATTAAAGAACAGAGTGGTCAAGTGTTGGTCAAACTAGTGCGTAGACACTTACGAAAAAACTCAATGGTCTTTATTGATGACTATGACAAACCTTTTATCGACCTTCTATTTGATAATCATCGGCATATGGAAGAAACGTTTGATCCTATTGTAGTGTTCCTTGAGAAATTCATAGCAGCAATCGCGAAGAATGGCGACAACGCAAGAGTCCTCCTTACAGGCACCACCAAATTTGGGGGAACCCTGTCGTCTGCAGATAATCTAAAATTTGACAGTATCTTTGAGCGACCATATTATGCCAATCACTTTGGTTTCACATATTCAGAGGTCGAATATTTAGCGAAAAAATTTCAAAAAGGAGAAGAGCACCTTGATGACATCGAAAGATGGTATGGTGGCTATAGCTGTAGCGATGGCACAAAAATATTTCGGCCGAATTCAGTCGTAAATTATTTTCACGACGGAGCGATCGGTCATTACTGGAAACTGAACAGCTCACCTTTTTCCCTGAGGAAACTTTCAAACCATCCTACAACACAAGTGGGATTTAAGAGTTTACTCAAAACCGGACGTGCCTTTGCAATGGCGGAAAACGACCTAGGTTTGAGCCACATCGTAGAACTCTTCTCAAACTGTTCCTCGAGCGATGATATTTGTGACGAATGGGTTTTCAAATATTTACTCGATTCCGGTGTTTTTTCCAGAAAAGTCCCATGGTTTCCGTCAGAGTGGCGGCCTGAAATAGAGATTCCAAACTGGGAAGTGGAATATCAGTTAAAGCGAGAAATCCTGAACCCTTGTTTCTTGCAAGATGTGTATCATATTAACGAAGTATCATTGAGAATTTTCGTAGAAGCTGCAGCCGAACTACAACCGGACGATAAAGAAACATTTCAAAAATTTGTGAATACATTGCACTTAGTACTGAGTGTACCCGAACTTTCAAATCAGGAAGCCATGAGAAATGTTGTAGTCTTCTCTATTTTGAACAGCGATTCCCAAAGCTTTGTGTATAGAAATGTCGAGCGGATTGAAAATGATGATGTTACTGTGGCCGAGGAGGAGCAAAATAGGGACTTAATCGCGCTCTTCATGACCAAAAATGATGTTGCGGTGGTTTTAGCATTAAATTACCAAGACTCTTCGTCACTTGCCGTTCTGCACGAAATCGTGGAACGACGATACTTTGAAAAGTTTTACGATAAACGCGTTAAAAGGCCAAAAGACTTACGTGAAGTACACATCGGAATCCATTTTAGTGAAGACAGAAAGACATCAATTAACTACATTACTGATCCTAGGGACCCAAACAATCTTCGCAAACGTAGTATAAAGCTTGAGTCGGAATAACTAACTAACAAGTCGTTCTTATAGCGCTTCTGTGCGCTCTGCGACACTCAACCGCCACTGATAGCGATCCTGCCAGAGCTCTCCGGCAGATCGCATCTCCTCATTTCCTGCCTTATTCCCTCAATCCACGATTTGGCAGTGCAACCTCTACGCTTTCTGCCAGTGGGGACCAAATCCAGAATCTTCTGAGGCAACCTATCATCTGGCATTCGTTGCACATAACCGTACCAGACAAGCTGTTTTGTGAAAATGCCATGCACTATGTTGTTTTCGACGTCTATAATTTCACGTATCCTCTCATTCCGAACGTGATCCTCTCTCGACACTCCGGCCGATCTACGCCAGTAGTCCATTTCGGTTGCCTTAAGAATGTCCTGGGACCGTTTCATCAACTGCCACACCTCGCTGCCATAGGTTAATATGCTTGTGTCGAAATAAAAATCTAAAACAAGCTCCAGTGGCGTGGCGTGCTCTGCGATGTATCGATTGATCTGCCATTTAAACCTATGGGAAAGGATCGATAAACAGGCTGTTTGCAACGAACGCCTTAATAATCGATTCTTTACTATAGCTTCAAATGGAAAATATCGATAATAATCGATCGTTCACGCATTACTCATCAGCAAGCACATGATGCGGCAAGACAGGAGAGAGGGCGGGTAACAAAGGGCTCTTGAAGCCGAAATTGTGGCCGAAATGAAGAGTGAAGCCTTAAGTATTGGGTTCCGGAGTCCGGGTGTATATATAACTGGACTGGAGGAACGGCATTGTAAAGCGTGGAGTATCCTACGAATTAGAAGGAGCCCCAGGGGAGATCCTTGCGAAACGAAATGAAACTTTCATTTCGATAATCCTACTTGGAGTCTCGTGAGACTATCATTCAAAGTTCTGCAGGAATTTTCCCTGTGATTCTTCAAAATGTGAGTTATTATCATGTATAAATTTATGTGTTTATGTTTGTGTGTTTTCCTGTGATAGTTTCCTATGGGAAGTAGCCAGAAATTCCCAAGGGTGGGAAATTTTGGGATCTCTGCTTGTATCGGCTAGACATCAAAACTAAATGTGTGGCAACCTTTGAAAATCTCGGGAGTCTGATGGGGCTTAAAATATAAATCGGACTATTCCCCCATTATCTGAACGATGGAGGAATTAAAAAGTTTAATTTCGACTTGTCAAACTTTTTTGAGTATCTAGAAAGTTCGAAGGCGCTTAAAGTTGATATAGAAATTTTTTATTAATCCCCACTATCCAAACAGTTAAGAAATTAAGAAGCACAATTTTGACTTAGTAACGTTTAAAGAAGCAATTAAAGTAATAATTTGCACACATCAGTGCTCAGCCTTCAAACGTTGCCACATTTTCTTTGATGAAAAAGGAATTTTCGGGGAAATCATGTTTCCTCTAATTCTTCAGAGACTTTTATTCGCACTTGAGTCTAAATTAGCTGGAAATTCCCAGATATAGTATTCATAATTCTCGTAAAAATAAACATTTTTAGGAGGGAATTTGGCAACTCTCGAATGTTCATACGGCGTTATTCCTCAGTACGGCAGTATTGTAGTATGGGCACATGCGAAGAATGTTGGAAGAGAGATTGCCCATAAAGAAGCTTTGGATTTTACGAGGGAATGCAGTGGGACAAGTGAAGAAAACTAAAGTATGACAAATGTAAACGCTACTTGATGTAACACTTGTCGAGGGGCTGGGGCTGTCTCCCCTTAAAGACCAACTGTATAGAGATTCCAAAATTACCCTGGTAAAAATGGCAAGTGTTAGGTCAGTGAATTTTCCACTGAGGTCAGTGCAATTTGCTCTGAGGTCAGTTCAGTTTTCTCTGACGTAAGTGTTAAAGCACTTACCCAAGAAGTCAGCACTGAGGTAAGAGGCACTGACGTCGGGAGAAAGACTTACCTAAGTGCAGAGATGTCTCTGAGGTAAGCGGGACTGAGGTCAGGACTTGGTTCAGAGGATAAGTCTCTGACATCAATCTTAATCGAACCGCACTTACTCCCAAAAAGTAGAGATGGCTCCCCCTTCCCCCACCCTATTTCATTTTCGTGGGGGAATATTTCCTCGGGACACGGGGACCACAAACTTTATCTTTCAGAGAGGCATATTTTGTAGAAGGTGGGATTTTCTAAGAGGGAAGGAAAACTAGTTTAAGTAGCCACACTCTTGAATAATTTGTTTTACCCTCTTCGTTTAAGATGGCACTTAAATAATTAAAACACAACAAAAAATGAGATCGATAAAAATATTATCACCGCTAAAATATGTATTTAGATATATTTATTTAAGCATTATTATTTTTTTATAAAAAAAAATAGTTTTAAATTTGGTTTTAATTTTTTTCAGTTTTAACTGTTTTTAAAATGTTTCAGTCTCAATTTTTTTTAAAATTTTCCTACTTTATTTTCAATTCTTTTCTAACTTTTTTACTCCTTTACTTTCAATTTTTGTATCTGCTAATTTATATTTTTTGTATAATTTCAACTTTCATTATTTTTTTTGCATCATTAGCTTTAATTTTGAATTTTAGTGCGATCCATTTTTTTTTCAAAGAAACGTAACTTACAAAACTTCATTTACATGTTGATTGATTAAAAAAGAATAATAGAAAAATTAAGTATCGGATTCACATTCAAAGACAAAATCATCATTTGCTGGCAAAATTACCCCAATGGGGGCCCTGAAATGGTAAAATTACGCCCCTAACACGTACACGCGCAGGTAGTGTAGTGGTTCAATCGCTAGGACGATCACCGAAGTTAAGTTACGTCGGGCGTAGTTAGTACTTAGATTGGAGACCGCATGGGAACGAGCGATGTCCCCTGAAGATTGTGATACTTGCTTGGGATTGAAAACTCACAGCAGCCCTCCCTGATCGTCAAATAGTGACTTAACGTACCTGGCAGATTGGTAATTAACGAAATTTTTGCCTGTACAGTATTTCTGGGAGTTTCCACTCCGCTTACGTCTGAGACACTTAGGTCAGTGCCACTTACATCAGAGGCACTTGCCTTTGGAACAGATCTAACACTGAGGTAGCAGATCAGCGCCCGGCAGCACTGACATCAGTGCTTAGGTCTGTTCCAAAGGCAAGTGCTACTGATCTGAGCACTTGCGATTTTTACCAGGGTAATAAATCACAAATTGATGGTGAAAGTGCAGAAGTCCAAGCAGCATTTTTAATGGTTTTCAAACATTTTGGAATCTCACTTGCTCAAGTGTGGCCGTCTGAGGGAGGTGAACCTCAGAACATGAAAACTCAAAGTAGAGTTATTAATATCACATAGACGAGGGTTTTAAAAACATTTTTAGACAAAACCTGCTCAGACATGTGAAACCAAACCTGAGTTTTGAATTCTGTACCTCAAAAATATGGTTTCAAGGGAAGAGCCGTGTGAAATTTTTGTTTATCATGTTCGGTGTGCAAAATTTTAGCATTAAATAAGAAACTTCATGCCTTTTCTTGGTAAAAAAATAAATTAAATCACTCGCAACCTATTTTTTCAGGCATAAAATATATTTTTTCGTGGAAATCTCAGAAATCCGATTTTGAACGGATTCGAGGAATTTTCCACTATTGAATCTTTTATTTATGTGGATTAGAGTTCCTTCTGGTATGGACGGTCGCATATCGGCAATAAGGATGGAAAAAGGCGTATCTCGATTACGGTGTTTCAAAATTTCTGCCTCAAATTTATTTTATCCAACGAGACCGGTCCAATACTACTGCTTGAAATTTTAAAAGAATATTCCTAATCCAAAGATAAAAAATCTAGGAAGATTTCAAGTAATGGCGTTTAGTATTTTCTCAATTAAAAATAAATTATGACAAGAAGTCTGCATAGGTAATTGACCGTGAGATACGCGTATTTGCAGTGTCATCGTCAGTATGTTAAAGTATGATCATGCAACCCACCCCAGGATTATTTATTTGTCGTTTTTATTCTTGTGACTGATAGTGAGATTCATGCCTTCAAAGAGGTGTATGATGACAAAATCGTTTCGAATGTGTTTCAAATATTTTGTATTTTGTATTTTTCTATTTAATAAAATCTTTGAATTATTAAGATCGAGATTTGCTCTAATATTTAAATGTATTACATTTTGTTATACACTCGTTCAATAGGATGATAGGAAGAATGTTTGATGATCCTAGGGTCTCTGAACATCCTGGACTTGGGAGTCTCGAGTCGCAAAGCGGAAACTTTAGGGATCGATTCTTCAGACCGAAATAAGACTATTATGTTCGATGAAATTTCTTCGTTTGGGCCATTTTAAGGAGGCTGTATTCTTAGAGCAGGGGTGCAGGAAGTGCCTTGCCTCCCCATGACTATCAAATTGGCCTTCCCACTTTAAAAACCCTCTTTTCCTCATCGATTTTATGAAGATGACTTTCTGATGGCTCTGTGAGTATGATATCCCGCGATTTTGCGAAAAACACGTGATTATAAGTGCAAATTAACGAAAGACGCGTAAAATTTACCCCAACTACCAAGATACCCCGCGATGTTACCGGACTTCCCGTTTAAATACCCCATTTTTGGGTTCTTCCAATTTTCACACGCGACTGAGCGCGACCCGCCCGGTGGGCTAAGGGTGGGGGCTGAAATCCCTCAGGATTCCAGTGTTTATTTCTTTGTGGCCAGAACAACATGAGGAGTATAGAAATACCTCCCGATCCCAAATTTTCTGTACTTTTGTTGATACTGTCGCTAAAAAAAAAAAAAATCAATTTTTCAGAGAAACTTGAAAGGGACATACCACTCTTAAAATGGCTCTAGTGAAGAATGCCATTAATATATTAATCTTATATTGGTCTGAAGAATCGATCTTTAAAGTTTTTACCATTCGATTTGGGGTACCCTGTATTTCCGAAATTAGTAAGAACGGGGACAGCCGGTAAGGAGAATCTTGAACCACTACTTTTAGTTTACAGTAAGCAGATTATAATATGAAACGGAAAAAGACTATAGATAGAGAATTTGGTAGCAACTCACTTGCTTTTGTTTTGGTCCTGAGTTAAAAGTAGAATTTTCTCAAGGTTCTCAATCACGGTTTTACATAAATGCGCCAAAGGCAGAAAAGTAAGTTTACTGGAACAACTGGAGATAAACGATAAATTGAAAAAAGAAGATCATCTGGCGAACAATCAGTTGGAAAGTCTGGCGGCCCGACCGATTCTCCCTTCCAGCCTAATATAACTGTGCGCGCACCCAGCAGCACAGAGTGATTAACAATAATATCGCGGTATCGGATTCGTGTGGTTTTAGTTCTTTATTTATTTTAATTTTTCAAATCGTCTGACGAGCGAAAAAGATTCGTGAACATTAATATGTACCTGAAAATGGACTATTAAGTCTGAAATGGCCATCGTATAAAGGAAGAAAATTCTAAATGTAGCTCGGGACCAAATCAGAGGCAACTAAGCGAGTTGCTACGAAAGTCGTCGTGTCATCCGACAAAGTGTTACAAAACCAAAACCTATAGATAGAGAGTTTAGGGTAAAAACTGTGAACATTCCAACATGGCGAACGCCTAAAATTGTATCAAGGTTTCAAACTTGGAGGTCAAAGCATCCGATTCAAATTATGGAATTGAAATCAATTTATTCAAAATTATTTGATACAATTACTGAACTGATACATTTATACAAATAAGTATGTAACTATATACACTGGTTGACATAATTTACAAATTAAAATAATTCTTATGTGACTTAGCACTGGTAGAAGGCATTGAATCATAGCTGGAGTCATTCTTCGAAGATCGGATACCGACGTAATCCCATCCGGATATAGGGGATGAGGATGCTAAAAATCAAGGCAGCCAAACATAAACTCTATTTGTTTTCTCAATATGAGATAAAAAAAGAAATTGCCGTTTCGCTAAAAATTACAATCCACAAAATATACAAGGAAGCTTTTTTATCAATGTATTTTTTACAGGCGTCTAAAAACATCAGAAACAAATAAAAAGAAGAAAAGAAAAATACTTAACAGGAATGCGATAATGTTTGACCCTCGAATTTTTACGCATGCATGATGTGTTCAGTTATTCGGTTTGCCTTTGCACCGACCGAACCAAAGAAAGAAACTACGGCTGTGGAAGCTTTACTCACGGGCTGTATGGACATACCGTCCGTTCCGGATTAAGAGGCCAGAAACTTCGGGTCTAGTACCTGTTGCTCTGGCCTTTGAACTTGAAGCGGTTGAAGCTACAGCCTCAGCACCCGGAATTTCCGGCTTCTGAGCCCAGAACAGAAGGTCTGACTGTGCAGCCGGTAAGTACGGCTTCCACAGCCGGAGTTTCAATAACAGTGTATAGACTATTCAACTATCATCATTTTTGGCTGTGTCATACCCCATAAGTGGTTTTAAAGTAAGTTCGCTCATACTAAAGTCCTCAAAGTCTGAATCCAAGTTAATACGAGCGAGAAATTAGTGACTTAAGGTGAATCGATGGACGCCATATTTTGTGTCAGAACGGCATGCGATATATCGCATCAATTGGTTCCATTTTTTCAGCTACTCGTCATTTTTCTCCAATTTTAAGATCGCAATTCTGTTGTCAGGAGACTGAAGCACTCACTTACCAATTTTAACAAAGAGATTCGACGTAATAAAGGCGTGGTTTTTTCAGAGAGAAAATATCGCATTCGAATGCAGTTTCGATATCAGTATCGAATGCAATGTTTTCTCTCTAAAAAAACCACGCCCTAATTACGTTGAATTTCTTTGTTAAAATTATTAAGTGAGTGCTTTAGTCTCCAGACAACAGAATTGCGATCTCAAAATTGGAGAAAACTGACGAGTAGCTGAAAAAATGGAACCAATCGATGCGATATATCGCATGTCGATCTGACACAAAATATGGCGTCCATCGAATCACCTTAACAATTTAAATTTAGAGGGCAGTATCAACCTAAACCAAGAGTCGCACAGGCACTATTCATGATTGAAGAGTCTAGTGTATGAACTTGTTTTGAGTGGCGTTTTTGTCGAAACGCGAGATTTTCATTATCAGGAGTATATTAGTGACAGGCTTCGAGTGTAATACGTACAAAATGAATGCCAGAACTCGAGTTCTAGTCTCAGACCCCCGTTTTAAACTTTTTCCAAGCTATAGCGTCTCACTTAATTTTTTCATATTCAAATAAGTATATCTTCCGTGGAATCACAACATGTCACTTCGTTTACCACATACTGTGAAAAATCCTGGCGCGAAATTCACGCTTACAGTTGCTATTTTGACCGCCTGTTACTGTGAGTGCATGGATCCGGTGCGAATTTCGCGCTCTGGCCGGAGTGAAAATCTGACAGGCAAATGTAAAACGGAACTGCCGCAGCATGGATTTAAACTCGAGTCGTGGCGGCGATAGACGAGTGCGTTACCATTTTGCAATTCGAAGTCCGTATCAGACAACGCTGAATTCACCCTATTTGAGGGAGCTCAACTAATTTGTCCGCCGTTGGTGATATTCACGCTCTGATCGATTCACTCAGAGCGCGGCGCGAAATTCGCGCTGGATTTTTTTCACGCCGGCTATTCTCTCAGAGTAAATCATTGATTTTTAAGAGTGCAGACTCTTCAACTGAAGTCATTATACAAACGGCACCAATCAGAATATTGCCTGCACGCCTTTCATCAAGATATGCGATGCAGTAGGATTTGGTATTTAAGGTAGATCGACAACGGTGAAACCTCCAAACCACGTAGGTATCTCGGTTTGCAACGTTTCAGACTTCCAGCTATGCTTTATTTTTCGAATAGAAAACTACTCAACGTCAATTTTTCAAAACTTCCGAGATTTTTATTCTGCTGTTCAGAGCAAATCCCGCAAAAACTTCATGGAATGATATTAATTCGTTCCCTTCACAAAAATTAAATGGGTTCGGAGATTTTGAAACCCTGAAAACGAGATACGTGGTTTGAGAGTTTCATCGTCGATATATATATCGACGGTGAAACTACCAAACCACGCATCTCGTTTGCGGTGTTTAAAAATCTACGCTCACATTTTATTTTTTTGAAGTAGACCAAATCAATATCATTCCTTGAAATTTTCACGGAATTTTCTCCGCACAAAGAGGAAAAATCACAGAAATTTTCAAGACTGGATGTTGAGTAGTTTTTCATTTAAAAAATAAAGTATGACAGGAAGTCTGCGACGTCGCAAACCGAGATACGTGGTTTGGTAGTTTCACCGTCGATATATGAACTGAGTGCGGTAAATTTTGGAAGGTGGGGAGTTTCCCATTGGTTACTTAAATTAAACAGGCAACCATCTCTGATGAGTATTGCCTGTCATAATGGAATATATGTAATCAATTCTTTTGACCTGGCTAAAGATAGAACACCTCTTCCTGTGCCGCGTCTTAAATTACAAAATTATTTTAGGCGTTAATCCTTAACTTTCGATACATTTAGACGGATATACGCAGAGACAGGTATCCTCGTGAAATTGACTTAGAAATTTTCTTATCACCTAATCATTGCTTTATTCACCCGTGACTCGTGGGTTAACCTGAAATCAAATACACAAAAATACTTAAGTTAAGGTTGTGCTATGATGATTTCAAATACACTCTATTTGGGGTATACGTATGTACATATCAGTATCCCACAGCTGAAAGGTACCTAACTCACATTTTTAGAGGAATCGAGCCATTGGTATATTTTCGAAGTATGAATTAACGGTTCTGTGGGTATGGACAATTTGGTAGCCCTATTTACGCCGGTTAAGAGATACAGAGTTTCAAAAAGTGCGATTTACATTGGAATCAATGGGGCCGATGCGTGGTTTTCCGCTGATATCTCGAAAGGACTAAAATGGAGTTATGAACCTTTTACCTTTTACCTATTACCTTTTGGCTCTAAGATACTGATTTGAACTCTTTGGAGGTCTTGGTCGAGGAAGCAAACGTAAATATGAACACGCGGCTATTACTAGCCCCAGTAGCCCCTGCTCATTGAGTCGGAAATTAGGTGTACACGAGTAGTGTTTGGCCTACCTCACGATTTGAAGGAGTTTTTGATGAGCAAAGTTAAGAAAAAAAGAACAGATGTACGAACATATTCATAATAGCAACTATACCAAAAAAAATCAATAGCAACTTATTTTCTTTTAAAAGAATGTAAATCACCAATTTTTCACGATCTTAGAAGTCATTTAGCTCAGTTTTACTAAAATTTTAAAGTGTTCATGATAGACTGCCCTGGTAAAAATTGGCGATAGGAGCTGTGTTTCAAAATACCGTAGGAATTCTTATAGCCGGCTAAAGAAGGCAATAGAACATCATACACCCATTTTTGAGATTCTTTACTTGATTAAAATCAATTATCAGTATTTTGAAAGTATTGGCTAGGCTTATCATTAGTCTTTGATTTTGGTTTAAAATTTCACGGCGGTCGGCTGTAGAAAGCGGAGCAAATCACATAGCCGGACTATACGAAGCGATAAAAATGTATACAGCCGGGCTATAGTTCCAATCGCCGGGCTTTACACTTTATCGCCATCGGCTATAAAAGGCTGGCGAATCGCCGAAATTGTGTAGAAATTCGTGTGCTTTGGAAATCATTAAGTTTGATACGGAACCACCATAATATTTACAAAACACACATTTTATTTTCCTTTAATACATATTTTTTTTTCATCAATTAAAATAAGAATAATCCTTACAGGATGTGCAAACATTTCAAAATCATGAGTTGAAAAACGCTGACTCCGCGAGATTATATGTTGGAGCCTAACACAGAGCGGAGCGGCGCGGCGTGCTGTCAGCGATAAGCGCGCACTAGCGCCTACAAACCTAACAGGGATACCTCACGCATTGCGCAATGCGTGAAGTATCCCTGGTAGGTTTGTAGGCGCTAATGCGCTTTTCGCGCTGGCTGCCCGCCCGCCGCGCCGCAGCGTGCCACGGCGCTTGAAGCAACTATTTCACACCAGAGGTATTGCACAGTATCATACGAAATTGAAGGCGCGCCATCATATTAGGAATGGCAGGCATCCTTCAAAAGACGGAACTTTCCGCGCAAAATAAATCAAGATACTACGGCCCAAAAATAGAGCGGTAGTCCAAAAACTCACTGAGTCCTAGCATCCGTAATTAGTAACATTTAGCACAAACTTTATCGCCTGGCTGTTGCTTAATCGCCATCGGCTAAAAAAGGCTATAAGAAATTGTGCAGCCGGCTGTAGAAGCTATTGAAAATCTAACAGCCGGCTTTAGGTCTACGGTATTTTGGAACACAAATTCTACTGCCAATTTTTACCAGGGTGCATACTTAGATATTTCAAAATTGGTTATGAAAAACTCACATTTTTCTATATTATAAGTTTTATACGTTGATATTACATCTGAATGAGTGATAGTAAAATTTTCATGCATAGAATGTTGGTATTTGTTTTTTCGTTTCCTTTACTTTCTTCCTAATCCTTACTAAAAATGAAATGTTTATTTTTATATTTCAGCGACCTCTAAAGTTCACTGGCATCATTTCAAGCTACTTTTCCAACGTTTTAAACAGGGTAATGAGCTTGTTCTCTTTGACAATGGCTACGTTTAAAAAGAAGAAAATTAGGTACCTATGTTATCACTGGTTGAGTAAAGTGTTTGTCACCTCCGAGATGGACAACAAAGGACTCCCGTCCTGTTTATCTGTGGGTTGCCGAATTCGCCGGCAGCAGGACTGCAACAAATAACAGCTAGCTTGAAAAGAAAGAATTAGTTAGAAAAATAAAACATTGAACGACAATCTCTATCAGTGGAATATGGAATAACTGCGCAGCCCATGGCAATATTTTACTCATTAATTATCAATGTCTTGTGTGAGCTTGAAGCTAGTTTTGTTCTGATTGTGAGATATGTACCATCGAAAGTTTTACTCTCCAGAGTAGGGCGTGATAAATGATCTCTGGAAGGCACCAGATTCAGCCTGGTAACTATTAACAAATAGTTGCCGCTGGGTTGCAGACTCCTCATTTTGAAGGCGATTTTTCCGCTTTCCTTGGTAACGCTTTCGGAAATCGAACGGATTATTATTTAAGGAATGGTGCAACCGCAAAAAATTCACGATTCGCGAAAACATTAAGAAATTTGATATCTTTTACAGCCTTTTATATTTTCGTTCGAAAAAATTAACCTATGTCCTACTTGCAGTTTGTGATAAGACCTCACTGTCACACAAGCTGAGTCGGAGTAATTGGGCAAGGAATGAACAACTTAAAAACTTTGGTGGATAGGTATGCCCGAGCAGGAAAATTTGGCATTATTCAAACGCTCGCATTTTTCTCATGACACGACAAACGCAGATACGTCCTCTTAGCAGAGTAGCAGATCTATACATTGAACCTTTTTCTCGTTCATACATGCAAACGAACAAAATACTCGTTTGATAATCGTCGAGTAAAGAGGTACAACGGTTATCGGAAATTGAAGCTTATGAACGAAAATAAACAAACGAGCAAGCTTAGAATGCAAACTTAAACGGAGGGTGGGAAGGAAATAAATCAAAGTACGAAACGGACAAATGATATGATCGAATGAAAGTGACGTGACGGAGGAAATCTACTTTTATTGTGTTTCTTGAACTCAATTCCCCTCTTACTGCCCCAGATGAGACGCACTTTGCAGAAACGATATATAAGCTTTTTTTTTTGCTGCTTAGGTTGTGTGACCTTAGGTATAATTTTTGGCTAACCAAACGAGCAAACATTCTAATACTCTTTGGAGGAAAAATTCGCAAAATTTGGTAAGCTTTTAATATAAAAATCCCATTAGAACCTTCAAATCGTTAGGTCAATCGCCCAATTGTTTGGCACATTCAGCCCAAATATGCAGATCCTCAGCAACACACGAGTACCGAAAATGTTACTGCAACCATTGGCGGATCCAGCACATTGGCAACATTGTCTTTTCTCCATTTAAACCTATGGAAATGTATCGGATCTTGGAGAGGCCTGGTGTTCCGATAAGAATCGATTATTTAGCATAGGTTTAAATGGAGGAAATCCCTTGTTGCCAAATGGATCCGCCTCTGATTGCAACAAGGAATGGCTCAATCACTGACCGATCTCAAAGTAATATAAGACCGTGAAATTGTGTAACTTTATTTGACTTTTTGCCTGCCCAAAAAAAAAATTGTATCTTTTCTAAACGAAATATTGGGATCATCAAAAAAAATCATCACCTTGGTCTTTTTTTCAACCAATCTGACCTCTTAAATACTCAGGAGAGCGACTGATTTTATACACGATCATTAATGATTCTATGAAAAACATGCAGTAATAAATTGGACCTTGAACTTCGATGGCGCTTTGAAAATTGGATGAGAAATGACCATGTTACGTGAATATTCCTGTTCTAATCAGCATTTCATTTGGTTGAAATGAAATGAGTGAAAAATTGAGTGCAGAAAAAAAGACAGATGTATAAAACTTCAACGCTGATGAAAACGGCAAAACTTATTGACTCTGTCCATTCACTGAAAGAGGACTGATTTTCACTGATAAAACCATGGAAACATAATCAGGCAGGGAGAATGCCACTATTTTTCACGTCAAAAATACTTGTACCCTAAACCTCAAAAGCTGTGCGAACTAAATCGGTATTTACGGATAATCCGAAGAAAATCATGCAGTAGAGCAACTTTACGATGGAAAAGAATCACAGAAAATAAGCGAGAATCACTCGGTAGGTCATTTTTACGTGTGTTAAGAAACGTATTAAGAAAGTTGATACTAATAGATCGATGAAAAAATGGACCGCATCAAGCAGAAAGAAACCGAGCCACATCAGCAATTGCCAAATTTAATTGAGCAATTTTAATCGTTTACATATAAACGGTTAGGCGGATTATTGTGCAAATTTCAGTTAATTTTTTGCACAGTACAAAGTAAATTCCTTAAATTGTTTAAAGAAATCAGCGCGAACGCACTCTTGGCAATGCTGATGTGGCTTGCTTCCTCTCTGCTAAACGCGGTCCAAATAATGATGCTCCTCCTGTGTAGGAGGGTGTCCCTTTCGAAAAACGGGGATTCTGTGAACATTGCCACCGGACACTTAGTAAAAAAGCTGGACATTCTCAATTTTCCGATTTTTTCGTGATTTCCCTTAAAAGGCCGGACAATTGGAAGAATTGCCAGACATTCATGATCTAAAACGTTTCGGGGGATGAAAGAAACAGGAAATCTAAAGTAGGCGAAGTTTTTACTGCAGTCTGTCATCGCTCTAAACACCGGTTTGAGATCTGTGGCCTCATCACCTCGGCCATGCAGTACGCTCTGCGCGACTCACGCCGCACTGCATCCAAAAGAGGTCATCCTATCCCATCTGCTGGGGTGGTGAATCTTCGTCAACAATAGGGGTTCTCGTCAAGTGATGTGACGCCTTCGTTAAATTCCGACGCATGAAAAATAAGTGGACCAATTTTTGTAATTTTTTTGAGCTGCGTATCAACCATCAAAATACAATTCTGCCACAGGCGGAACTGACCTCTTAAAAGAGAAGTACCTTTTTAGAGAGGGAATGGACATTTGGTCAGTTGGACATGATATGCTAAAATAGCATAGGTTTGCGTGCAACATAGTTTCTTCCAGCATGAATACGTCCATTTGGGAATATACTGGATTCATATCAAGGACTTGAAAATAATGGACTATCCAATGGAATGTGCGATAAAATTATTTGAAACACTGCATTTTTCACTTGTAGTACCATAAAATTCACCTAACATGTGTTTCAACAATTCTTTGGGTGTTATATTCCAGAGGAATGGCCTTGTCGACAGAACCCCCTATGACATAGGCATTTTGACTAGAACATCAGAAAAATCGTTAAGAGTAAGCCACATTCCCTTTTTATTCAAAGTTGTCATCATTTAATGTCCTTGAAATAAAGTAAAGGGGCAAAGTGTCCAAACCGTCTCTATCATGGTGCTCCACTTAAATGGAATAAATTAAATGAAAACCGAGAAAAATCTTCGGGGACATTTAAGTGTTACATAACGCACTTTTCCCTATTTTCAAATAATTTTGTCCCTTGTCATGCACCGTAATGCAAACTGAAGCGGGAAGCCCACTCCATGAATTACATAGCGTAAGCCAAAGGTTGGCCGATTCCTTTTGGTTTCCCGACCTATAGTGGCTCAAAAATGTCCACTATCTCTTCCTCCCCTTATTTCGTAATATTCTCAATTGAATGGGTTATTTGAAGAAAGGTGCAGCCACCAAATTTTCAGAAATTGAGTTCCCGATGAAATACAAATTCTTTGAGGGTGGGTGTATCTTACCTCTAGGCGATTCTACCAGAATAGCTCTTTAGACGTCTTTTTTTTAACATTTGAAGATCTGCTTCAGTGGAAAAAGGACGTAGCTAAGTTCCGAGCCACCTGTCCTGGCGCAGGGTGCTTCCTGATATTGAAAACTATGAGTAGGAGCACAAACCATGGTTTCTGATACTTTTATCGAACACAAATGATAATTAACTATCATGTTACTGTTAAAAATAGTAGCAATGAGCAGATTTTCGGATGAAGGACGTGGACGCCAGAACTTTTAATTGTTTATTTCTCGCCCATTTTCTTCGACCTTATTCGTAAGACTGTGGTCTTATTATGGATGGCAAGTACATCATTGGATTTTTTTTCGAGCAGAAATAAGCATGAAGAACTGTCAGAAAAATCAAGTATTCTCATGTTTCCTCGAACATTTACTGTTGGTAGTCACGCCTTTTTTCAAATAACTCGTTCATTTTCCGGACGATGGAACGTAACTCTATTCCAAAGTTGCAAACTTGACTCAAATAATTCAATTTTTCACGAGTGTCGTCAAAAATACATGTTTTATCAAGGGAAATTCGGCAACTCTCGAATGTTCATGCGGCGTTCTTCCTTATAGCACGGCAGAACGGATCTCCCATTGAAATATGAGCGTGACCAAGTAAGAGAGTGCGTGATGTAACACTTGAAGATCCCCCTAGGGAAGAAGTACGAGGGCAAAAAAGAAAAAAAAAAGATAGTGATGCACTCACTGGTGGTGGTGGTAAGAATAGAATTGGTGGTGTGGTGTGGGCCATACCTCGGTCGCACCACTCTCACTCGCGTACTGATAACACTTGGCAGGACTAGGCGGGGCAGGAGCAGGAGCGTGGGCGGGGGCGGGGGTCGGCGCGGAGTTAGACGACTCCTCTGCCTTCCACTTAGTGTCCATCTCAGCCAGCGACTTAAGCGGGTCGCTCCCTCCCTTCTCCTGGCCGAGGTACGTCTGCCCGTTGAGGACGGGCGGCGTCCCGGGGTTCGAACCCGAGCCCGCCGGGGACCGCGGGGTGCTCCCCCACATGAGCACCGTCTGCCGCGGCGCCTCCGAGACCGGCGAGTAGTGGTGCTGGAGCAGATCCACCGCGGGCTTCATCTCCTCCATCTTGGGAGTCACGATCCCGTTCACCGCCGCCGGCGAGGAGCCCGCCGAGTTCGGGGTAGGCAACCGGTCCGACTTGGGCTTCCTCTGCAAGTCGCAGAGCGGCACAGTGAGCTGGAGGTTGGGCGCCATGTAGGGCGACCCGACGTCGAGCTTGTTGCCGATGTAGCTGCAGCTGTTGTCGACGACGGACGCGTACTTCTGGTCCACCCAGTCGTTGCCCTTGAGCTGGTGGTGGGGCGCGGACTCGTAGGTGGGCATGCAGGTGGCGCTCCTGGTGGAGATGTCGAGGAACCCGTTGGAGACGTACGGCGTGGCCGAGTGGTAGTCGCTGTAGTAGGGGCGGTACTGGTGGAACAGGTTGTCCGAGGCCAGGTACGGGAGTCGGTTCTCGTAGAGCGACTGGTGGTGGAAGTTGGAGACGCCGGAGTGGCCGCCGTAGAGGGTGGTGTCGGTGGTGGTGGGCGAGTAGCCGGAGGAGTACATGTTGTAGGCGACGGCGACGGGGGCTGTGGTCAGGTAGTCGACGGGGGTGGGGGCGGCGGCGGCTGCGATGGGGGGCGCGACCGGGGTCGGGTGGTGCGTCGTCAACTTGCGCTTGGTGCGACACGTCGAGAGGAAGTCCCGCAGCTGGGTCTTGTAGCGGCGGTTCACTTTTTGGGGGGTGGGCGGCGTGGGGGTCGCGCTCGAGGTGGCCGCCGCCCCCGTCGACGAGTGCATGGAGGAGGGTGAGGTGGAGGGGTGGTGCGGCGGCGTGGAGCTGAGGAGCTGCTCGGAGTCGGTGAAGTAGCTGCTCGTGAGTCCGGCGTCCAGGTAGCTCACTTTGAAGTCCATCGTTCGCTTCCCCAACAAGTCTCTGCCCTCCTCTTCCCTGTGAACACATCGCAAATTGTATAAGAGTTTCAGATAAAAGCTTTAGCTACATAATCATCTATCGGATACAAAAGTTACCAAATAAGTCAAAATTTTCGAATTACGACTTCGGTGCCTTTCAATTTAATTGTGCGGCTCCAAGGGGAGTGCAGCGGCCCTGGAGAACCCCTCTGGTACAAATGTTTCCCTCCCCTGTATTTACATCGAAAACAGCGAATTTAAACGATGCGAATCGCACTGACTGACACGCTTAAAACGCCTGGATACAACGATTCATTCTCGACAGCTGTTGTCCTTGTTGCATGTGAACAAATTGAAGGCGCGCTTACTTTTTACTTTCTCATATAACGTGAGGCGTGCTGCATAGGGTATGCCTCGATTAAACATCCCGACTTCATGATTTGACTTTTTTTGTTTTCTTTTTGTTTTCAAAAATGCCCTTAATCAGAGATACGGTCCCTCCAATTCTTGGGTGAACTATCGTGTTTTTTTTTATGTCAGCGATGGTTACGGATCCATTGCCATTAGCAAAATTCAGAAAAATCCATTAAAAAAGGCCTCACTTAAAGTTTTCAGCACTAAATTCAACCATTGCTTTAAAAATTCGATCACTCAAATTTACCCAATTATCAAGTAAATTACTCAAAAATCAATATTTAACAAAAAAAAAAGTACCAAAAAGTGTCTTTATTGCAAGCTTACATCGAGACGTATGATACTTACATCAAAGGTCTATGCGTACTCATCACAAAATCAGGCTTAGAATTTTTATATACAAGACGTGAACTAGTTTGTAGCCATTGCCATCGGCCCTCTTTGGTTTGAAGTCGGTAAGCAATCATGCCGGAAGCTCCTGTTTTTAGAACTGGAATGACAAGAAAAGAGTGATTCTAGCAGCTGATAAGTAAAACAATCTATCTGGAATGGTGGGACCAAGCTTTAATCTGCGGTTCATGAATTATCCTGACTTCAGAATATGTAAAATTAGAATTAAAGAGCAAACATCAAGAATAATGAAGTATCTTTCAAAATTAATTTATCGATGTAACTTTTTCTTTTATTAGTTGTGGCACGGAACATGGAAATAAATTCAGTGTAAACGCTGATAAGTGTTGGTTCATCAATTATTTCCTTTTTTTCTTGATACATTTTTTGGAAGTTCGCCGGAGACGGGATCTCTAAAGGTTCCGGAAAGATTTTTCGGGAAATGTAGTGATTACGCATTAAATAGAATGTTTTAATTTTGTGAAATAGGAAGTTCAGACAAAATTATTTTTTTAAAATTATTAAAATGTCAAACTAGAATTAAGAGAACGTCATAAAAACAAATAATATAAGGCACATTAGAAAAATTAAGTCACAAGATTGCGTTAAAGCCAAAACTTTGAGTCGCACAGATTTGTTACTTAATATGTTAGTTTTACTGTTCCCATTTGTGCTTACAAGATCCGCCGAGTGAGCAAATAAATTACCTACTCAAACCAAGGTTACTTACGGTTACAAAGGTAAACAAATGTTATAACTTACGTTCTTGATGTGCGCTTGCCACATACGCCATGTCATCGTAATGAACTAGATGATAACCACCGGCATTCGCTAACTCTGCATCAGAATATCCTAATAATAATTTACCCCTGAAAACAAAAAAAAGCATCATAGTGCTATATAAAACTAAAACGAAGTATCATTCATACTACAATGATTATCATACGATGTACCTATACTTTCGAAGTGACACAGCGCAGTTGTGGGACTGGTAGAGGCTGTATGTTCGAATAAATGGTTGCGTCGAGTGAAACTCAAAAGAGACAAATTTTGTACTTAATTCGCAGTTTTTTTTTCAATGTCCCGTCATTACTAGATATCCTTAGCATCAGAACTCCTGATATTGACTAGGCAATGACACATAGAACCAGAAAGAGGATATAATTTAATGAATTTTGAATGAAACTCAACCTGATAATTTCGTTGAAATTTTCATTCTCCATCGGAACGATGTGTCGTTGAATTTTTAAAAAATGAAGAAGTGAGAACGCCGTGAAATAAATAGCTTTTAAAAGGACGCCAATCATTCTTATAATGTTGGAGCGCCTTCAATTTCGTTTGATACTGTGCAACACCTCTGTTGTGGAATAGTTGCTTGAGGCGCCGTGGCACGCTGCGGTGCGCCGGGCGGCTGGCCAACTCCCTACGCGCATTGGCGCCTACAAACCTAAGGGGATACTCCAAGCGTTGCACAATGCGTGAAGTATTCCCTTAGGTTTGTAGGCGTTAGTGCGCGTTTTGCGCCGCCGCTGTAGCACTAGCACACCGCTCCGCTCAGTGTAGGCTCTAATACTTAAAATCGCGGAGTCGGCTTTGTATTTACAAAGTAGTACACATTCTTTGTATCACAAAGTAGGTTTGTACCTCATTAAAGTTTATTGAAAACGTATAGCCGTTTTTAATGTAACAATGCATTAGTTTGAGAGAGTGACAAATAAATTCAATCTCATACAAGTATTCATCACGAAGTCATTAAATTGAATTTTACTCAAAGTGCGTTTAGAGTAGTTTTTATATTTCTTTTTCTTCTATTTTTTTTAAACCATGTCAAATGGTTGTGTAAATCACTTGATGGGAATGAGTGGTTCTGAACTTGAATAACAAAGTCCTGCAAGGAGAAGGGAGTCAATCCCAATCTTATGTAAGCCTCCACTCTTAAAACAATATGATACTTTGTATAAAAATACTATTTTTTCAGATATTTTTCGGGCTTCCTCTGTTATATTTTAAAAACTCATGGGGAGAAGGCAAGTCAATCTCACGTAGTTTTCGAGGGGAATGCGTGGTTGCACTGGGAAAAAAACGCATTGGATCTAGAGTCCAGACTCTTGAAAACATTGACAAGAAAAAGGACTCTTGATTTAATCAGATTTAAGCTTGAATCAAAAGGAAATCCGCTCAAATTAAGAGGCTTGGTTCTTGATTTAAGCTTAAATCTTATTGAATCAAGAGTATTTTTTTCTTGTCAATGTTTTTAAAAGTCTGGACTCTAGGTCCGATGTGTTTTTTTTTTCCAGTGTGGATTATGGGTACCTATACAAAGAGAGGAGGGAAGTGGCCAGAGAGTTAGCCTAAATGCCTCATGTAGCACTTAAACGGCCCCTAAAGGCCCCTAAAATTCATTCAAATACAGTACAAATCTTTTGAAAGAGAGAGCTTTTCAAGACATTGCTGGGAATAATTACGGCCCTAAACGTTGCGAGGTAAAAAGACAAGTTGTCGCGATCTCTCCAGGCTCGAGCAATGTGTTTTCGTAGCTGAACGGTGATTTTTCTAGCTGAAGCTATTGAATTTCAAAGAGCGGAGTAAGTAGGTATTCGGAGCCGGTCTGCGGCTCGATTCTTGAATCGTTATCGAATGAGCTTGATCGATAAAGCCCTATCTTGGCAATGCTGTATATCGATCAAGGTCATTCGATAGCGAGTCAACAATCGACCTGCTGAAGCCTTTCACCCTTCCCTAGACGCCATGCCTCGGTCATGGTCGATGATTCTAATCCAAATCCATTTAGTCTCAACCAAAAAGCTAGAGTTTACGGACGCGATCTTACAGTGGATTTGACAGGCTTTTTTGCACAAGAACCAAGCCGTGCACTGGAAAAAAAAACACATTGGATCTAGAGTCCAGACTCTTCAAAACATTGACAAGAAAATGGGCTCTTGATACAATCAGATTTAAGCTTGAATCAAAAGGAAATCCGCTCAAATTAAGAGACTTGGTTCTTGATTTAAGCAAAAATCCGATTGAGTTAAGAGTATTTTTTCTTGTCGATGTTTTTAAGAGTTTGGACTCCAGATCCAATGCGTTTTTTTTCCAGTGTGCATTACCAAACGAAAATCAAAACCGCTGAAATTTCTATAGAATCCATCTTGCCGTTTCATAAAATACGTAACAGGGGGGGTCTGAGCCTTCTTTGCGGAAGCTTTTCTGG